AAATTCTTTTATGGGATGTTTCCTGAGCTTTACGTATTCATTAGAAAATTACTCAGTGCAGTAATAAATGTATCCAGAGCTTTGATATTTTGCACATCAGGTGGTAAAACAGTAGCTGTGAATAGATTGCCTGTATGAAGGTTTCTGCCTTGAGTGCTGCAGCAGCAGATGGCCTAATAAATACGCAGTGCTCTGAAACAACATCAGTAATTTCTGTGACCTCAGGTTTTTTGGTCTCCCACGCAGATAAAATGCACAATCATCCAATAATAAACTTCTTCATTGAAAAGCCCCTAAGCAGTGTAATGYAAACATCTTTTGAAGTACACCAGCTGTTTGTACTGGGAGCCTAGCTGGGTTTCTTCATGAAAAGTATTTTAGTGTGGCTCTGTGGGTCAGTGCAGAGGACCCAGAGCTGSCATGGCCTGAACCTCTTCTCTGGCAGTGGCCAGGGGATGATACYTGTGAGGAATGGGATGAGGACACTGTGTCAGTCCCCAGGAGTGCTCCAGCCACACTGCAAAAATAAAACAACTTTTTATTTTATGGGTCTTGCTAGCATTTTTCTTTTGCTGTTTTGTAACCATGTATCTTTCAAACCTGTCTGTTCTTCAAAACTCCCGGTGAAAGAACATGGTAACAAATGAAAACCCTGAGATCTGCTGGAGATGCCGCAGCTGCAGGGATGGATCACCAAATGCAGAATGTTTTGCCCCCAYGCTGGACCATCATGCCCGATGGTCAGGAGCCAACAGCAGCTGCTCAGGGGTTGACATCTCCTCTCTCTTCCAGTGCTGAGGGATTTCTGAGCAGGGATCTTGAAGGACATCAGTGCAGGGGMTGTGTAAGCAGAGGATCCTATCTGGGCCACATTTTGACAGAACTAGAACAGCAACGACCTTCATTACAAGCATCATTCTGTTGCCCTTAGAACGAGGAAAAGGTGAAACTGCTGGGAGCCGTGCTCAGCTGGACCACCTGGTGTTTGCACTGGCCTTGTGCTCACCTCCAAAAGTTTCTCAGCTCCTCAGCATCCCCAGCCCCAGTCCAGTCTCACCTGCAGACTGGATGGCACAAACTTGGAAAGGGATTAAAAGCATCACAAGGCTGTTGATTTACCACTGATTTACCACAGGAACCCTCATAATCATTCYTACCATGTAGTTTAATGCCCACAGATTATTTGCCTGCTTGAAAACTGTCAAACTTGGAAACAGAGCTGCTTTTAGAGTGGTGTGAAAAGAGCAAAATCCTGCTCAGGTCTTTGCATCCTGGGCTGCTGCAGGTGAGCCCTTGGGAGCTCACGGCTGTTCCTGGGTTTCATCCAGGACTTTTGCATTTGTGCTGGTGACGATGCCTGCAGCAGGATCCCCAAACATCACAGTCAGAAACACAGCACAGCTGCTAATGAGCAAGTTAAACACCAGATAAGAAGAAATTACAAATATTGTTGTTACACTTACATATTCCCATGGGTATTGTGAAGCYGAGCTTTTATCAGGGAACTTAATTTAAATAGTTTTTTTCCAAGGTGCCAAAAAAGGTGGCAGATAAGGGTGCCAAGTTTCTATAGTAACCATGAGAAAAGTGGTGATTATCAGCAATACCACATAGGAAAGACAGACCGGATTGTCTTTTCATTTTATACATAGCCCGTTGCTTAAAAAAATTAAGCCCTTTTCTGAAAAARAAAGAAATACCATGGAAAAGGAAATTGAATATGAAATGCATTATGCAAAATTATTTTCAAAGATTTTCCAGCCTGTGTATTCTTGCCACTTGACTCAGTGTTTAGAGGATGTGCCTCTGAACAGAACGCKTTATGGCTGAAGAATATGTGAATAATAAAGCATGACTTTTCATATTTTCTCATCAGRTAACCACGGCAGCAGAGGAGAAAAATCAATATTGATTTCTTACTGTAAGCTCCTCAGGACAGAGCGTGTTCTTTGTTTGGCATAATGAGGCTCAGAGGTACAGACAACACTTGGGTACAGCACTGCAGGATTATGAAGTCCTAGAGCTGCTTGGAGGAGTCCACGTGGGTCATCAAGGTACCAAGTTTTCAGTGACCTGCAACTCTGTGCTGCTGCTCTCCACAGACATTTGAAGGCTCTAAGCTGGTAATTTGYCTGGACTTTGGAGAAAATCCTGGCAGATGGACCAAAGACAAAAAGAATGAGAAATGGGGAGAATCGTTCCAGCAACACAGAAACACACTGCTCTGGGCTGTGGTTTAAAGCAGTAAAAAGTGCTCTAAAGATTTTTTTTTCCTTCTGAACTATGTGAAAGCTGCTTGTGTTTTTTAGCCAGTAGAAACAAAACAGAGATGTTATTTACATCTCACATGTGTAAAGAACACAGAAAGGCCTGAGCAACCAATTGATTGACTTGTGATCTGCTGACTCCAGCAGCTCTACCAAGCTAACTTCAATTCCTCTATTTTTAATGTAGATCCAAGAAACATTAATGAAGCCTTACTAAAATTTACTGSATTTCAAAAGTTCTGTTCCCAAAAATCCTAACTGATGCCGGGTTTGTAGAAATAAATCCCTGCAGTTTCGTTAACCTGAAACTCTATGCCCAGCCACAGGTCTTTTTACCTGTTGGAAAGCATCCTCTAGTGAGAACTGTGAGATTCTTGTGGGCTCAAACATTGCACATGACTGCTAAGAGCAAATCTCTGTGTTCCTCATCACTTGCCATAACTGCTGGCTTTGACAAATTGGCTCAACAAAAAGCCTGCTGCATGTCAGCAGTGCTTTAGTTCAAGGTTCACAGGAGGATGATTAAGAAAAACATTGTGAGCAAAACCCAGAGCCCTTGTGAGCCYCTCGTGCAGCTCAAGCCAGAGGTGTTGTTCACAGCACCACAGCAATCAATCCCCACGGATGCTGAAGACATAAAGCTGCTAACTAGAACACAAAGGGCAAGGATCCCAAACTGCTGATTTTTAAATGCAGGTTRCAGCTGCTTACCTATAAAATACTACTGCTCTAATGACAAGAAAACAGATTGTATTTGTGTTTGACTRTGAACTGGGAACAACAGACTCACCCTGAACCTACTGTCACTACTCACCTGACTCCTTATTTCATTAAAGAGTGTGGAGCCTCCAAGGACTCCCTTTTGCCCAGGCTTTGGATGCCTACTGGTGCACTTTTGTAAGTGACAGGTCAGTGAYTGTCTGCCATGAAGGAAGGGCAAGCACATCTACCCAGACAGMCGCTGGCAGACAATCCCTCTGACACCAGTTTGCAGCCAGTGTTTTGTTGGGTTCTTTTCTCCCATGAGAGGCTATCTCAGAAAAATCAGGGACCCAGTCTGGACTCACACTGGTGCCCTGGAACACTCCTCAGAGACATGTAGCTATGAAAAGAAAATTAACAATGTTTTAAATACTCTTACCACAGATGGAGTGTAGTCCTGCTCACTGAATGATGCTAAAATGCCTAGATATGCACAAGCATGTACCAGTCAGTGTTTGATTTCTGAAAGTCAAAATTATGATTTCATTGACGTTTTAAACTGATTGTGGCATTAGCAAGAACAGGTACAAATCTTACTGGCTAAGACGGGGTAAGTAAATTATCTCGGTGCAGTATCTGTCTTCCCGTGGATTTCAGTGCTCCTCTTCCTTGAATCAATTTGTGATGATATGTTTGTACCTGCCATAGAGCCAAATACACAATCTGATCTTATGCCAAGCCACTATTAAGAACTGCATTTTCAATTGATTCTAGGATATTCATTCACTGGGATCCACAATTACACAGAATTTACAGGCATATAATTTTAAATCACTTGCAGTGAGCTTACTAAGCTCACTTTATGACATTCAAATACATTATTCTTAAAAATTCACTGAGTAGTCAGCTCGAAAATAATTACTGTGGGATAGCACTGGATATAATCAAGTAGAAATGCAGAGTAAGAATCACCAGAAATGTCTATAGATCACTTTTGCCATGTGACTTTCTCATTCAGCTGTCTCCAGGAAAATGTCATGTACTGAACTGGTGGGCTCCAGAGATGTTCCACTGACTCAACTCCATTACAACACAACTCCTTGCATTCTCGTGTTTCATGGACAATCCTTGCTTGACACCTTTTCTCCTACAGCTGGCAGCTGATGCTGTAAGGTTTATTTACCCTTTGGGCAAGTGTCCTGCTGGTTGGGGGATGCTCTTGGCAAGCAGCATTGCTCTGGGGCTGGGAAAGTCAGGCACAGCTCGATCCAAGTAGCAGCCAGAAACATCAGKGTCAGGTTAACTGGATTTTAGAGCAAAGTACAGTACACAGCATCCATGCACAGCAATAAATCCATGAATAAATGAAACAAATAAAATACATGCGCAGTATTTGATTAATTTCATATAATGATTTCATTTTCAAATATTACATATGGTCTGATTTTTGTCTATAGTCTTTCTCTGTGATCAGTAGAGGTATTTTACAGACCATAAACCCAAAATGCACAGTGATGCAGATGATTTAAATCTCTGAGTTGTAACTTTAGGACTCTCACTGAAAACTGCACCGAAACCCAATCAGGGTCTGTTTTAACAGATGGGTTAAATGAATCGCATTATTTTATTGCATGGTGTAATTGAAAAACTCCTACAAACATGTTCCCTCTGAGCACACCCAGCCACACGAATCACATGCACACCTCCTTGCCTTACCTGAAACAAGGCTCCAGTTTTGAGTGTTGTGCCAATTCCTCACTGCTCTTCAGCTCTGTGTGGTCACAGCAGTGAAGGTGATGGCAGCTGATACCCTCAGCATCTCACACCCATTAGAAATGCACAGTAAGCAAGTAATTTTTTTTTTTTTTAATTTGAGTAAAACCATAATTTACAGATAAACACCACCAACCTTCTTGATTTAGCTTCATTAGTTTTTATATGAAARTGTGAATATTGGAAATAAATTACATTAACAAATAACTGTCTTGGACAAAAGGAACTTCTATGCTGTGTGATTTTCCACTACATCACAATTTAATACAAAACTATAAAAATAAGACAGTTTGCCAAAATCATTAATTTGGTCCCAAAACTATTGTTTAATTTAAGTTTTAAGTTATATAATAAATTAAATGGCTCAGTCAGATTTTGCAAGAAGTTTGAAGATACTATGAATTAAAAATGATATCCTCTGATGTTCTGACTATGCTAATTCATAGTATTTCCCAGATTTTGGGTCAAAGTAACAGTTCCGATAGGAATTGCACAAAAGAGTAAAATATTCCTCATCTTCTTCAGAACTGAGGTGATCCTCACCTGTGTGAAGTGGAAAAAGTAAGCACAAATTACTCTTATTCCCTCAAACAATACCATGGAAATATCTTTCTGTCAGATGTGAGATTTTTTCTTTCACAAAGTGAAAGAAATGTGACTTCTGAATTGTTGCCTTCAAGATAACAGCAATTCACATTTTTATTGTATTTCTGAAGACTTGTACTTAACCGAGGTGAAATGAGGTCAGCTGGAGTTTGCTTAACAACTGGACTTCTCAAAATCCAATGGAGCAGTTCACCAAAATTACCTTTACTAATGGTGGATCAGAGTATTCCTAAGTGGTATTTTCCTCMATAACCTTCTTAATAACAATAACCTTCTAATAACTTGAACAAAGRCAGTCAGTGTGTACATAAGGCCTGTAAGAATGAAAGAATTTGAATGTCTGGTGTCCAATATGCCACCTAAATATCCAGGATAGGTAAATCTTTACAAAAGAACTTTTAGTGTCAGAAAGGAAAAGAGATTCTTCCAGACAATAAAAATTTTAAATCTAGYTTGTCTAAAGTGATAAAAAAGGCAAGAAAGTTTTCAGGTAACAGAAATGAATCTTTAGTCTAAAATACACTGATAAAGCTCTACAGACTTACAGATGCTTTATATATTGCAGCTTCTTTTCTGATCCTGTCTTTCACATAAACTAAATCTAAATCATATGATCTATAGCTTTTTGATAGGAGATAAATCACAGTTGAATGCAATCTGTATCTTGAATTTCATTATAAATGTTCATCCCATCCTCAGCCTGCTAATACCAACTGAGTGCTTTGTATGCCCTAATGCTTCCAGAAAAGCAATGACCTGTTTTGCAAATAGCAATGGTTTCACAGTGCTCAGAATCTATTTACAGCCAAGATCACACAACAAAATATAGGYTACATTATCTGGAGACCAGAAAGTAGGTTGGTGCATTTGTTGCATACAGAAGTGTGCACTTTTCCAAGAGATTTCATTTTTGTTTCCTCAGTCGTATGTAACAAATACCATCAGAAAGAAACTGTCTTTTGCTGCAACCAAAGATAAGAAGGCAAAGCCAAATTGTTTTCCTCCCTGCTGTGGGTGCTTCATCAGGCCTAGGAAGCTAAATGAGGTTAACTGGGATATTTTGTTCGGACAGCTCTTGGGAGAAGTTGTGCASTGCAGAAAGAAGGTGAATAACAGAATGTCTTTTTCTCCACTTCAGATCACAGTASCCAAGCAAATGGTGTTCATGCTTCACTCCCTCACACAACGTTACAATTTCACCTGAAACCATGCTGTTATTTCCACTACATCCTTCCTTTTATTATTTAGCTTTTCCATGCCTATGCTTTACTTCAAAGTTATTCTCTTTTCTCCCCGAAGCTTAAATCTTCCCTCCCTCTTCAGCTTGGAACTGGCCACTCAATACACTCCCTGGTTTGAGGTAGGAACAAGAAATTCTTCAGACTCTTCAAGGGTATACCTCTTTCCCCGTCTGCCTTGAATTCATACCAAATCAGAATTATATTGCATCCAGGACAAGCTGGATTTAAACCTTTATATAAATATTTTCCTGCATGTATTTTCATGTGACCAAAAGGAGAACTTAGATTTCTAGATCTATCTTTTTTTTTTTATTATTTTTTTTTTATTTTAAAGTCAGGCTTCTTTCTTTTAGGATCTCAGACCCCTGAATGCATTATAAGGCATTTCTAGGYGTTGCAACAAATTTCCAGTGGCAGCATGGAGTTCTGTTCAATTCTGAGCAGACATTTGAAAACCTCACTGCTGTTCTTCCTAAATAGAATTGCTACTTAAATTAAGTGATATTCTTCTRAAAGACTCCAATAATGTGAAATAGTTGTGTTAGAAAGTGTCTTTTTTTGTTTCAAGTGGTACATTCTGTGCAASCTGACCATATGTAGAAATGAAGTGCCCACTGCCAAATTAACTGATAAACAGGTCCCTTTCAAAGAAAATTTCCATAGCTGCTCATGCTGCCACCACCCACACTTTTGGAGTTGAAGCTGCTCAGAATTGCATGGAAAAAGCCCCTTGGCAGTTTAATTTGCATCTCATGGTGAAAGCAAAATCAAAGCTTTTGTTCTTAAACCACAAAAAATTTAAACAATATTTTAGGTGAGAAAATGACTTGATTTTAAATGAACACTGTGGTCTGTGATATGCATTACAGAGGAATGAGAATTTTTTTGTTGAGCTGAAAGAAGACTGAAGGYAGCTAGTACCTGTAAATACCTGTTACATTAAATGAAATGCTGCCCCACTGAAATCAGGGGTGCTATTGTTTTTCTGGAAAAAGAATTGATCAAGATGTCTAAGATAAGAAAGATAACAAAGAACAGGGCAGGCATGTGGCAGGTTTTTCTGAACTCTGAAATAAATGTACAAATAACTGTTTTTATTTGGATTATGTCAACAGTGTTTACAYAGTCACCACGGTCTGGAGAAACTAAAATATATTGTGAAAGCTGTTGAATGGAAGAGTACTTCTCCTTGCATCTCACCATTTAACCAATGGATGCTGCAACTGTTAAGAAAGGAATTACAGACTGAAAAGCTTTCTTGGAAAGGAATCACTTTTGCCCTAAAGTTGTACCTCAACTTAAAAGATTTTTTTWAAATTTAAGAATTAACAAATCTTTATTAATTTACTAATGCTACACAATTTTTCTTAAAGGATACTTTCAGATAAAATTCATGTATTGAATACATTAGGACTCRTTGCAGATTTTCAGTACTGATAATGGGCTTTTGTCATCCTGTGATACCTGGAACACTGGAAAACTCTGCAGACAGAGAAAATAATCTTGGAACAATTCCAACATGAGAATTAAGTAATTTTCTAATGTGATATTRAAAAATCTAAAAAAAGGCGAGGGTGAGCAGGGCATCAGAAGTTTCTGGAATGGATTTGAGCATTCAGTTTATTGTTCAGATGTGGTACAGAGCTGTCAGTAATGAAGCAGCTCTTTTGTCACACAAATAAATGATCYTGAGTGAAGTGATTTAGGAAAAGGAAAATTTCCCCAAAGTCTTCGAGACATATCACAATTTATTTAGCACCTCTTTCAAAAATGACACTTCAAACCATCTAGTTACCATGGTCTATCAGGATTTTTTTTAAACCATGGTACCTAGGAAAACACCCAGCTTCTAATGTTTAATGAGGATGATCTAATCTGACAGCCTTTCTCACACAGCACTGCAGCTCCTCTGCTTTCACAGAGAGGGGAGTCCTGTAGTTCAGAAAAAATCCAAACTTGGGGAGGGAAGGTCATGGAATGGCTTCTCTCTTATTTCCTGGAGAAACAATCACTTCATTACAGCAGAGTTTTTTGAATTACCTGGAGATAAAAAAATTTCTGTATGAAGTTATCAAAATTACAAACATCCTACATGTACATATGCCAAAACTTGACTGAATGAAGGTGCAAAAATAAAAAGCTGAAACAAAAAGCTATGGAATACAGACAATTTCTCTTCTCCAAATGTGCAATCACAGGCAYATRATGTAAAATATTTCAKCTTAAAGGAAAATGAGTTTAGGAGYGATTCACAAAACAGTTTGGAAATTCCAGTGTGAATGACAGGAGAAATAGAAATTCCCAAATATACTTAATTTTTAAAGCTTTTTAAAGATAATGACACAATTTTTTTAATTTACAAAAAATATAGGTTTACTGCAACAATCCTTAGATCTCATAATACTAACACAAAAAATTCTCTGAGACCTTTCATGAATTTTTATCCAATGTGCCTATAGCCCAAGGATTACTGCCCAATTCTCTTTGGCTTATTTAGGACCCTTAACATAACATATTACCCAATTCTTCAAAGCAAGGTCCCTTCCTGACAGCAAAATTGTATTTTGCTGTCACAAACAATTACAAATCTACGTCTATGAAAATATTCCCAATTTGAGGGGCATAATTTATTTTAGACAGTAAATCACTGCGACATCTTTACCCTTTGGACAGCTAAAATACRGGGCTCAGATTTATGAGGGCTCCCAATGAATTCCTGAGAGTTGAAGAAAAATGGAAATGTCGACCCTGGAAGTGTCCTGGGGCAGGTTGGACAGGGCCTTGAGCAGCCTGGTGGAGTGGGAGGTGTCCCTGTCCATGGCAGGGGTGTTTTTTTTTTTTGGAACTGGACTCAAAGGTCCCTTTCAGCCCAAACTATTCTATGATACTCTATGGTGATGACTCTACCCTGTTTTCTAAGATAACTGATAAGAAAAAAGGGYATTTGAGGTAAACAAGGTATTTTCTTTATTCTGTTGTTGACTTTTCCAGTTTCAGTTAAGTTCTAAGCCATTCTCTAAGCAAACACCATTAATAAGCAAAAGCCTGCAAGTCTGGTGACAACAGTCCTCAGGAAATCACACTAAGATTTCATTTAAAGCTAAACCTGCAGTTTTTCTTCATAAGAGAAGTATCTCTTACGCAAGTATAATCGTGCCTCTGAATAAGAATGTTTAGTCTYTGTGTTCTTAGGTAGGTTTGCCATCCCTATTAGCATAAATCTCTTATTTTTAACAAATAAGATGTATTTTTTCATGAGTTAACTTGGATAGAGCCAGAACATTAGGAAACTGCTACTGCATGTTATTCTTCTAGCAGAGACAAATAACACTGCATGGAAAACTCTGCTACCTTGAGCTGAGAATAATAAACAAGGGAACTTGAAACCAAAAAGTAGTAGGAAAACTATGAGAAGGCAGTTTCAGCACTACAGAAAGAACATTTAGAAAGGTCTTTTTACCCAGGTTCTTTTCACTGACTTCATAAATTCCTACCTTGAGTACTCTGTTCTGTTGAAGATTTAGTGTACTCTTCCAGATGCTGGTTTCCAGGAATGATGGGGGGATTGAACACCTTCAACCAGTCCCTGAAAAATACAAACCAAAATATYATTCATAAAAGCAGTTTGTGTTCCTGTTTGTTATAATTCTTTTGATTATTTAAAAAGTCAAAAAGAATTGCAGGTCATCCAGTGTTCAGAAAAAAATCAAGCTGGATTTTATTATTCTAAAAATACACTTTACAGTTAATATAATTATTAAATATTAAGGCTTCCTTCCTTAGCCCTTTCACCTGTTCTGTTCACATTAAAATCTGTGGTTTAAGTCAGGTTTTCTTTTCAGATTTCAGCAGGTGTGGCTCTCTCAGCACAGGGTGTGCAGCTCATTTTGATAGAACCAGATCCATCCTTTTTGACCAACCTACACTGCAAGGCAAGAGGTATGGAAGAGGATAAATTCCCCGATGTTTGCTTCATGCTGATGGGAGCAGTGCATCTCTRAAGAGTAAATTTAACTTGGTTTGGGGTTGCTTCAACTCATGTCTGGCTGTTCCAACAGGTGGTTCCAACAGCTGGCACAGAAGCATGATACATGTGGAGTTGTACTAGAGATGAGGAAGATTAGCCAGACCTGTCAAGGTAACTTCAACATCCATGGCTTTGTCTAAAAGAGATAAATTTTTCCAAAGYTTGACAAATTTCTTTACATTCCAGGCTGTAATTGTCTCAACTTGACTGTCCAACACAAAGGAAACAGGTGATGCACTTCTGTTTTCTGAAAAGCGTTCATGATCTTATGAAGAAGTTGCTTCTATCAGAGAAATCTGGCAAGGCCCAGTTTTGTGTTACAATTGCTAAAATATGCAATTCCTTTTTTTCTTTTTTTTTATTAGTAGTTTTTCTGCTATTTCTGGACTTGTTATTGATTCTGCATCATCTCCTGTTGGCATGTGTGCATAATCTGGGTTGAATCTGGGGACAGCCACCTATCTGTTTGCAGTCAAAATGGAAAAAACTAATTTTCCGCCTCAGGAAACAGAACTGTTGGTGTAGAAATCCAGTAAGTAGTATAACAGATTTAAAGGAAGCAATATTGAATTTTTCATCATGTCAAAATGCAAAAAACATAATTTAAAAATTTCTTACACCATCATATTATTTTCACATATATGGCCAACTTCACAGCCAATCCTTCTCCTTTTCTGCTGTTCAGCTAAAGTCGGTCGCAGTTGGTACAATCCACACACCCAAATGTTTGCCTAAAATTCTCATTTTTAGCTGTCATTGCTCACCATATCTGCATTCCCTGAGTGCAGCCAAAAGCTCTTTGTTTTCACCAAAGCTTCCAAAGTTTTTAGGAATAACAACTAAATGCACGCTGATACCCGGTAGAATGGTAGAACATATTTTTCCTTCCTGTCCCTTGCATGTGTGGTTTGATCTGCCTCAAAATCAGCCACCATAAACACCAGARTCTGACCATGATGTGGTCTGATAGCAGAAAGCAGCAGCATGTGCCTGATTCTCCACAATCATCCTGAAAAATGTGTTAGACCTTGACAAAAGGTCAAGGCCCGGCATGGAGACCACGTGCAATATTCTGAGAAACACAGATTGTCACCTCTGTTCCTGTTTATTGTGGTTTTCTTCTGAGGATGTAAAGAATATATCTTTTTTTGGAGAACTTAATAAAGAAGMTAGTTTATCTCATTAAAACAGAAAAGCTAATCACACATTCTGACTAATTAAAGAAACTCTATTTATGCTATCAATGCCTCCAGCTGTAATCAATACAATCAATGTGCAATAAACTATCTAGAGCTTCCTGATAACAGTGTGGAATGCCAAATATTGTCTTTTGACATTGTGAGCTGCATTGTAGGAAGGCTCAGAATGGGTTCCACGCACACTCAACAGCAGCATGTACCTTTAGTGCTTGCACCGAAATTCTTTATTATTTTGATAGCTATTTTTCACACTAAAATATAATACAAAGCTCATATAATCTTGTTATACTTTTCTTAAAAAATATTACTTAAAAATTCTTAAAAAAATACCTTCAGATAATAATGRTCATATAGTGAAATATCACACAACAGCTGAACTGTGATGGAAAGGAARAGAACCTTTTAGACTTATGAAGATAATTTTCAGTTCTATGACAGTATGTTAAATTTTGCAGAAAAAAAGCCTCCATCAGCAAAGWCTGTTGAGAAAATTAGTGATGCTTTATTAGGTAGCACTTATCAATGACAATGTATAAAAATCACTACCATCAACAGAAATCCTTAGAATAAGAAGCTTTTTATTTAAATCTTAATCAACACCTTTGATACTTTGATTTTTTTACAAATACTTTTGCAGACTGGAGACTGAGAAAATGCCAAATCACTTAGTATAAAGATTTTTAATATTGCTGTGAATTTAGGTAACATACCTTAATGCATTTCTTTTGGATCACATTTAATTTGTACTGCTTAAATCAATGGGATCATTTAATCCACTTTATTAACAAAATTGAAATGCTTAAAAGTTTAGTATGGTTTTGTCCAACAATCTATACCAAAATTAAAAGGAATATTTGTTCAGCCTTGTCATATGCTTCAAAAGTGCAAGGCAAGGGCAYCATTATGCCAAATCAGGGAATCAAAGACCAGCATCAGTTTTGTATCATTAAGAACACATCAGATTGACAGTCTATTAAACACCTGAGGGGTACAACCACTAAAACCACAAAAGCTGGTATTTAACTGCATCTACTCATTGAATTTTTATGAACTCGAGAGCAGAAAGGACTTGTGCYTGAATGAAGTAAGAGGAGCACATTTACTGAACTGGTTTTTTACAGTGSATTATTTGACTAACTGTAGAGGGACAGAAAATGTTAATGTATGAAACAAGAGKGCAAAAATATTTTTACAAAAAAAGGAGCAATTATTGATATCTTGTGCAGCTATCAACTTAAATTTCAGTGCACACTTTTGTTGTATTAGAAATGTTTAATTCCACATGAAGCAAATCCTGCTGCAAATGCTCAAAGTGCATAAGTGACAGCTCACATCTAAAGTATACCCYAGTTCTGCTAAAATAAAGGCTTATTTTTCTCTTGTTTTTAATTTTAATTGTATCTATTTAAGAAAGTTTAGTAGAGACTACATCAGTTCTTAGATAAATTAATAAAAGGTCACCTGGCTTTATAAAACCCCTTACTTATTCCCCAGTACATCTCTTTTGAAGCATGAATTACTGGCTAGGCTCCTCTAGACTAAAATATCTGAATTTTCAATTATTCCCATGTCTGGTCAGCTTCAGGCACACACAACTTCATTAACTTAAGACAAATTACCTACACACACCTATTTTGTTTCTGCTTTGTCATATATTAATGCTGTATACGTAATGGGGCGTTTGGGTTTATTTTTTAATAGAAGTAATTCCACAGAAGTAAACTCTTCAATAATAGCTTCAGGAGTCAAGTGAGGAATTTTGTAGGMCATTAATAATGGGATTTGTTTGATTTACATACAAAATCCAAATATTATTTGAAAATATGTTTAAACTAACTTCAGGTCCTGCCACTACATATGACTGTAATAATTATGAAATCAACTGAACTTTATATTGTCTATTATTGTATCTAAAATGCTTTAAACAATTCAAATACTTGAAAATTTGTAAGTTTTTACCTCAAAATGTCATAAACTAAGACAAATTCAGTATTAATTTATATGTCACTAACTGTTCAGTGCTACTCAGTTCCAGGGGGAGAAACCAGCCCTTTTAAAAAGGAAAAAACGAGTGAGTTCACAGAAGCAGAAGAAGATATACTACCAAAAGAGTACAGGGTGTATTTATACATAAAAATCAAGGATTTTTGAATGCATACTTTAACAAAAATCTTGAAAAATAACATAAATACCTATCTCCATATGACTTTGCATGGATTGAATGTTCTATTTTGAAAAGCGTTTAAGGGCAATCTGGCAATACATTGATAATTTAAAAAAAAAAGCAAGCCATGAGCTACATTGTGTTTTTCTCCAGGAGTGCTACTGTAGTTTCAAGATATCATTAAATCAGCACAAACCAACACTTATCATTTCCTGCACATTTTTCACAGTGAGCTGCATTCTGACTATGAGTAATCTGTTAATCTGTTCTTTGCCTCACAATCCATCAAAATGACAGATTCATTCCATCCCTAATACATAATATCTTCATTTACTGTATGCCTTACTGGAAYTTTCTTTTTTTCCTAGCACTAAGATTGAGAAAATCACAAGCATATTTAGAAAATGCTTTTTCCCTTCCTCCAAACCACTTCAGCAAGTCCATTTTTGCCAAACGCTGCACTTCTAATGGAGGCAGGGATCTCCTTGAAAGCTAAATTTAATTGTCCATGAGTTAGTAACTAAACATGAGATCACAGAAAGTAAAATTGCAACTGTGCAGGGAACACCTGAATCTGCTCTGAGTCTTAAATCTCTAAATGAACTGTCTTAGGGGTGCTAGATTGGATTCAAGGATAACAAAGGAAATGTGAATTCTACTTATTAAACAACATTATTTAGATAATGTTAGCTGCTGGCCTGTGKCAGGATCAAAGGAATCTGTCATCCACAAACACTGGAGATCCCCTGGAAAAAGCCACAATGCTAAAGGGCCATAGGAACAGGTCAGCTGAGTATGGAAGGAGAGATTGTAACAGTCTGGGAACAGGGATCTCATCCTTTYAATCTGACATACCAGAATGAGCTAAAGTATTTTACTGCCTATTCTCCACTTTCAAATATAAGCAAGGCCAAACAACTTTGTTTGAATGGCCAGTGAATATCCAGAAAAGTGTGCAACTGGTAAAATTATTCTCAGTAAGTCCTGAAGCAAAGAAAAAAAAAAAAGGAAAAAAAGAAGAAAAAAGAAAAAAAACAGAGATCGATTGCCTTATATTACTATAGATGTAAGAGAGAGTTATTTGCCCTGTTTTATATTCAAACCCTTAGTGTACATGCTGTCATGTTTCCATGTTCTCAGATTCCCATACAAGAGAAAGCCATTTTTGGATTATTTTAACAAGCTTTTATGTGTTAGCCACTTGGTTCTCCACAATGTTTCTGCAGCTAAGCTTTTCCCATCATGATTAAAAAATGTAACCTGTTCAATTAGATAATTCCTGTGCCATTTGCTTCTTTTGTCATGTTCTTTTTCAGGCACATTATTGCCTGACAAATGCAGCAGAACTTCGCTAATTCAGATTAACGACTGGGAGATCTCCTACAAATTACTCTATTTTGTGGGTAAGTAACTGAACAAGTAGAATAAAAACTAAAGTACATTTTGTGATGCATGGCTCTTGTTCACTTACTTTGACAACTGTTGTGTAATTTTATACTACTTCATTACGTAATATTGTCTGTTTTGCAGRAGTAATGGGGTTTTACGACCTTGATCTTGTAATGAATCATAAGAATAAATACATTTCTYTGTTTGAAAAACTCAGTCTTTACATGTGCTTCTTAGCTAAGTTATTTTGCTATTCAAACCTTTGCTTGGAAATGCAGGAGACAAAGACCTCTTGTGCCTGAATTTCACACACTGCATGAGGGAGGAGTTCTGSTGCAGTGCAAATAAAAGTTATAGCTACAATCCTCCTTTTACTGCACCGTTTCGTAGGTGAGTCTAATTTTACAGAATTTCTTGATGATAGAATAACACAAGCACTAGCTATTGGAATATTTAGTTTTCATCTGGGATGGATAAGAATACTTGAATGGTAGTCTCAAAACCAAAGATACTTCTAATATTTGAGAGTTTACAATTGATGTAAATATATCATAATATATCTGGAATCAGTGATATTATGCAAATTATGCTAATTTCAGGTGCCATGATAAGGGCAATATATATGGTAACAATAGGTTCTAAAAAAATACTTTTCTAGAAGAATATTCAAAGAAAGAGAAAGAAGTAATTTATTTCCTAAAACCAATAGAGTGGTCAGAATGCACAGAAAGAGGTGTTCATTATATTCACATATAATTTATATTTATAAMTAACACACCTAAATTTTACCACTAATCAAGTTCAAATATAATTAAGAATGCATTTAGTTAAAGGTACATGTTTATGCATTTYGTGATTTATTATCTGAAGTGCTATGCATACATACCATTAAAAAAATAAGAAAACCACATTGTTTGATAAAGTAGAATGTGAGGATTTGGGTTCTGCTTTCTTATCCTTAAGGTAAAACCAACAACTTCTTTGAAAAAGTTATTTTCCTCCTCAAACATGCCACTTTCCACATCAATGAAATATTTTGCAGTGACAAATCTCAAATGCATAACATKTACCAAAAAAGGGATGAAAAGACTTTTTTATTTTCTTTGGGTCAATTTTGTTGTTTATTTTTTTTTTTTTGGTGTTTTTTGGATTGTAGAGGAAAGAATAATGATGGCATCCCAATCAGTCATATATAAAAAATGTAGGCTACAATGACAAGACAACCTGCTTTAGTCAGCTCATACCAAGCCCAGGTGAGGAGAGGTCAGCRGCTTTTAATCATTTGTCAGAGGCTGCGGGCCCTTATCAACCAATTTTAGACAAAAGAAACTGAAAACGAAACATCTGGGTAAAAACTAATTGAAAATTTYGCTGTGCTCGTTTGGCGTGAAATTGTTTAAGTAAAGTACACTTCTTGTGAAAGGATACTCAATTAAATGCTGAAATATTTGTGCTCTATTTTAGTGCAGTTTCTGGGAAAAACTGTTTGAACAAGAGGAACAAATTTTATTTGCTAAACTGGGAAGAGTTGAGCRGGATGCAATGTTTAAAAAGATAGGGTTTTCTAATAAGTTGAAATCTTTCTCTAAGGCAGAAAAATCAGCTTTTATTAGAAAYAAATTTTCTGGAGAGAATATGTAAAAGTTTTTAAAAGTCTATTAATAAATTAGGTTCAAGGGATCTTTTTCAGAGAGCAGCTCTGCATTTTGCAGTTCAGTATGGCTGAAATTCTAGATCACTTACTGTCTTCCAGCATTTCATTTAGTAAAACTTCCAAGCCTTCTATGACACACAAATAGTTTGGAGGACAAACTGACTGAGGAGATGCTGGTTGCACAGCAAATTGTAGTCCTTGAACTGGAGGAAGAATCAACATAGAYAGTTCCAGCTTCTATTTGGAGAGAAGAAAGCAATTCCCGAGTTCTGCCAGGACCACCAGCACATCCATCAGTGGGAATTGCACGGCAGGGCTGGAACACTGCACATCATCTCCCTCCTCTGGCTCTGCAGTCTCTGCACTCAGCTGCCTCCTCTCATTAACTGCTTCTCTGCCTTGCAGAGCACACCAGGTGGGGGATTTGTATGGCAGCAGCAATATTCTTGGCAGACTTATGACCTTTACCCAGTGGAACCAATGGACAATGAGTCGAGTTGAGTTTTTTTATTGACTGGATTTCCATTATGGTCATAGGCTTTCTTTCCTGACTTATCCTTTTATCTTATAATGGACAGAACCTATGTTTACTGGACAATAGCTTCCACAATGGTCTCTTTTCATTTTTCAGAAAATATGACTACTACACTTAAAAAAAATTACTCAAGACCTGTTATTTAGCACTCTTTAAAACAGTTTGTTCATCCAGTAAATGCACCATGAAATGGTCTTCATACCATAGCATTTACACCCACAGACCTAATAGGGGTATATCAATTTTTCAAATATTCTATGTGTTCCCTACAAAGCTGTAGTAGGATTACAAAGTTTTAGACATTTTCTAGTTGCTTATAGAGGTTTTGTTAAAATTGTCTTTAWAAATAATTTAGGAACTAATTTATAGAATTACCACTAATTTTACTTCCCTCTTATTTAAGTACACATCCTCTGTCCATTACAGAGTTTTCCATTATAAATGAAAGGTAACAATGTAAATAATGGTATTCAAGTCACATCCTCTCCAGTTTTTATATCATGATGCAAACTGACCTCATAATTTTGTCATCTTCTGTATTTACAGCCCAATAATGCTTTTCTGGCAGTTCGCAAGGGCTACTGAATTTATGATGCACTTGCAAGTCAGGTATTTTATGAATACCACCTGCATTTCTCGAAAATGATTTCTAGAGAAATTTAAGTCTACWGTGAGTACTGGATTAAAATAGCATAAGAGCCAAATCATAAATTATACTATTTTGTTTTAAATTTTATTATATGGAAATACAAGTTTTCATTGTTGGTTATATTAATTTGATATGATGAAATGCTTTGTTTTTACAGATAATGGTATTTATTTGTTTTCTTCAGTATATAAAATGTACCAAGTACCAAATTGCTTTAGCACTTGCATAAAAATAACTTAATAAAACCTGACTTAACCAAYGTATGGGCAAAAAGAAGACAAACAATGTAGCTTGCACTAAAATATAGGCAATTCTAATGTCATCAGAAATATAAAATTAATTTTGGAATAAAGAGTCCAAAGTTCTGTCTCAAGGTACCTCCTGTTGTACTCTGTGGACTACAGTAAGTTGTCTCTATCCACTTCATCAATTCAACAACTGCTAAGATCCTTCTGACAACCATCACCCCAGGCAGAGAGATCTTCTAGACAAACATAATTACCTTGATTAACATGTGAAAGGTAACAGGAATCCAGAATTACACTTTAACTCCAGTAATGCATTGTGTGCACTAGGAAACACATGGCCGTGTGCTGCAATAACTGATGCATCTGGGTGAAGTTGCACAGAAAGTTTCATATTGTTCACTTCATAAAATGCAATCAGAAGATTTTGAATCCATAAAAATGTGGATGGCAAGTGAGACAAGTGGCTGAAAACATCTGTGTGAGGAGAAACACATATTATCCTGCACAACTGAGTGGCATGAAACATTTCAGACTRCTGGTAAAATATAAAGAAGTTGTCTCTGAAATGGCCTCTCCTCCTACCCCTTCCCCACAATAGATACATCATCCAGTTAAAATTAGGACAAGCAAAATCCACATTAATGACACAAGTGAAAGTGAAATAGGACTGCTTTTAAAAGTTAGTACACCCCTTGTTCAGGCAGTTAAAAAATTGACAAAGTGATGTTAAGGTTTCACAGGTACAAGGCAGGCCTGAAACTGGACAATTAATCTTGATTGTCTCAATACTCTCAATTTGATTAATTTTCCCTAGCYACCTTCTCCCCTTGTCATCCCACCYTACATTAAAGTCACAGGGATTTTGCTGCTGATTCCAAACAAAACAGATCAAGCTAAAAACCTGAYAGACAAAATACACTGTAGACAGGATCCTTTTGCACTATCCCACGGTGCTGTAACCCCCTCTCCTAACTGGGCTATCTATTGAAAAAAACCCTTTCTTAATAAGGAACATTAAAATCTTTTGGAACCAATTGATTCCCTGACACCTACAGTCACACACAGAATTCTAGTTCTAAGCCTTCAAAGCAGAGGGGGAGAGAGGGAGAAAGAAATAGATGAGAGTGTATGTATGTGAGATGAGGACGATTTGCTGAATCACACATCAAAGCAGATGTAGGAGCAAGGCCTGTGTCAGACACTTTAAATACACAGTGGTACATCCAAAACATGCAGAATTCAGTTCTGTGCTCCCGGACAGCTCAGACATTCTGTAGACAATGACTAAAAYGAGCAATAAAGCCCTCTGAGAGGAGGCTGCAATCGAAAAGAGATTGAAGATTAAATCAGAAAGTGTCACATTTAATATTCAGAATACTCTAACTGAATCCTTACTGCCTGGGCTATAAATGGAATCTTACTGTGGGTTGGAATGAGAAAGTGGGCTCATTTCTTTCTGATAGTGATGCTCCTGACTGAYGGGCTATGGAAAACAAAAAATAATAGATTGTTTAGAAGAATGTCAGAGGTCTGGTATGAGCACATACATTTGCAGCTTCTGATATTAGAATTTTACAGTGTTTTTTCTTATCCGTGAAATTAAAAACAGATATTCAGGTCCTAACTGTGCAAAAGTACAACTTTAAAGATGATTCTTGTCTGGGTGGAAATACATATGAATTAAGGAGTCGATCACACAGTCATTTTTCTGCTGCCTGTGAGAGTGTTGGGACAGACCAGGAACTTCAGAGATGGAGGAAGGTAAAGTCTTATCTGACAGAAGAATCTGGACTGAACATGCATAGGCAGCATGATGAAGGAGCTCTTAGCAAGATCTGCACAGAGCCACCCAATTTAAGAGTGGAAAACACCAAGGAAGAGCTAAGAGGGCTGGCAGACCAGGTTTTTCTCTCCTCAGAAACACCATTAACAGTAATTTTAGCAGTCCCAAATGAAGGTTACTGAAGTACCAATGATTCTCCATGGCACTGCAGCTTTGAAGCCTGGATTAAGTTGTTCATGAGTAGCTAACAGTGGACTGCATGAATATTCATACAAAATATGGTAATTTTCCACAGCCTTCAAACCTTACCTACCCATTCTAAGTAGAAGCCCCAAAAGTTTCAAACGATATTTGGTTTATGGCATCAAAAAATTATTGGCAAGAAAGATCAATATTCATAAACGGATCTAAAAATTCAAGAACTCTAAAATCCACAAATACATTTTCTCCCAGAATATTTGCAGTTCTCCCAAAAGAGACTCCCCCTGCCATTAACACACACCACAAAAGAAGTTCTAAACAAAGCACTGAAGGAATTGCAAAAGAAGCAAAAATGTCAGCGTACATTAACAATAGTTGTACAATTTAGTACATGAAATGCTAAAATAATAGTAAATGTTATGAAAAGAGTTTTTTTTTTTTTTTTAAAAAAAAATCAATATAGAAATGAGTATGTTCTCATGGTTTCAGAAAATGGGAAGGGATGCTGTAAAATATATGTTCAGCATGAATGACATCCTAATTACTACCAAACATGACTCACTGCKTGGTGGTGGATTGTGCATTCCCAGATGATAGCTAGTGGAAGACTGAGGACAAGACAGAGAGTGAATTAGTCAGTCTATGAACCAGAATATCTGTCTAAATAATTTTTAGTCTCATTTCATAGTAAAGAATAATCTGCCTCAGTTTCGCAATTGGATTTGATGTGAGCAGATCCCTCCAGGGGTTGTCAGACTCAGCTCACAGTTGGAATAATTCTGGGTTTAAATAGCACTCCTCTTGTCTGTCAGACTTCACTTCTGCCAGACCATTTTTGTGTTAAGCGGCTTTGTTTTCTGAAAACTCATAAAGGAGGCCAGACGACCTTTCACAAATTAGGTATGAACCTGGAAGGACTCTTTCAAATATTTTTCAGGTCAAGATTTCTGCGACTTAATTTATATTTAGGAAGGTGCTTGTGGAACAAGTAATCTTTTGTCTCTCTGGGTATTCCTTATTCAAAAGACACATCTTAGTGGTGGRCATCAGTTGGATTCTGCTAATGCTGCATTATACTACTATTGTACCACTGCAAACTTCCAGGATTATCATGGAGCAATCTAGGAGAATCTTCCTCCTCATTTGCATTTCTGATTGGGAAACAGGGACCATATGCAGTAAGATATCCTGAATTCTCTTATAGATGATCTTTCTCCAGAATGTTTATGTTGTATCTGAATTGGTGTCTGAAGTGTAGGAAGAACTATCCAAGAAGCTGAATGGGCCAATTCTCTGACAGGACAAGAAAGTCTTRCAGGATCTCTAGAATAAAGCAAGGCATTTAAGCAGAAATGTTTTGTAAGCTTTGCAAATTTTCTTGGATAATGTGTATATGTGTGGGTATAAACTTCACATTAAACTCTGCAGTATACAGAACTGTGCCTTTCATAGTGCTGCAAAGCYAGCCAGGATTTTCATAGGCCTTAAGATTTAAGAAAACATTCAAGTAAGACATGGTCAAATAAAATTTTTWAAAATATTTAGCTCTACATACACATATTATTGAGTTAAAACTGTGCCRCACACACATTTTACAAGGGTTTACAGCTCTCCTTCAAAGTAAACCCATTTTAAAGTAGAAGTTTTTCATATTTACAACTGAAGCTATAGTGGGTAATGTATAATATTCAAAGTGATTTTATTCTTTTTTGACTGTCATAGTTTACAGTAGCTGCTAAACCACTTACATTTCAACATTTTCTCCTGACAGCATATATTCACTTCTTGGTAAACTATCACAGAATATAAAACTACAGTTTTAGTRTATCTGTTTTATAGTTTTTTGAGGACATCTGTTCTTACTGCAATTCAGTAATATGATTGATCTATGTGCCTTTATATTCACAAGGGTTTCTCAGATTCATTAAAGTCAGTAACATGACACTTTTCAATGACTCTGGAAATCAGGCTAAAAATGGTAAGTGATGAAAAAACTAAACTCACTTAGAATGTGGCTTATATACAAAATATTACTTTGATACATAAATTCACTATCTAAAATCATTATACCCTACCCTGCCTTGCAGAACATCAAAGGTATTTCAAAATCAAAGATACACAAAAAGCTGCCTTCTGGTGGTGCTGTTGCCATAGATTCCAACTAAAGGACACAAACATATAAAATGAAGAAAAATGTGGAAGAAAATACTCCTTATTTATCTTTGAAAAACATAAGAGAAAGCAATTGATACCACTGATTTAAAGAATCAGAAAAATACAACCTGGAAACACATGTAAGCATGAAAGTTTAATCATGACAAGAATTTTAAGCTGTTGTTAATTTCTCAAATTCCAATATAAGAACTATTTCTATTTCTTTCCTATATATACTGCACTGCTAAAATAATTTGCCTATGCAGCTGGAAGATGGCTACAGATCTATATCTATATGTATGTCTCTCTATAAACTTTTCTGCAGTTTGTACTTTTTGGAAGGATTGAGCATTTGAAAATTCTCTTGACTCAAATCAAATGATGGTGGTACTAAAGATCAGGGACATAAAAAATCTGCTTTTATTCTACACATATATTTTTTTCATAATAAATATAGATGAGGAATAAACATAAATATAAGATACACTTCTTTATAAAAACTGAAAGCTGAAGAAATGATGAGTTTACTKGTGTTGGGATGAAGGGATTGAGARGAGCCCTGTGGAGAAGGACTTGGGAGTATTGGTGGGTGAAAAGCTGGACATGACCTGTCAGACCAGAATGCTGATTGTGTCCTGGGCTGCATCCAAAGGAAGYGTTGGCAGCAGGATGAGGGAGGGAATTCTGCCCCTCTGCTCTACCCTTGTGAGACCTCACYCGGGGTGCTCTGTCCAGCTCTGGCCTCCTGTTGGGACAGGACAAAGGGCAGCAGTTTTAAACTAAAAGAGGGTAGATTTAGACTGGATGTAAGAAAGATTCTTTTTACAATGASGGTGKTGAGGCAGKGGAACAKGTTGCCCAGAGAAGCTGTGACTGCCCTTCCCTGCAAGTGTTCAAGGTGAGGTTGGATGGGGACCTGAGCAACCTGGTCTAGTGGAAGATGTCCTTGCCARRTGGTAGGAGGGATGGATTAGATGACCTTTAAAGGTCCCTTCCAAACCAAACTATTCTATAATTCTATCATTTTAGGTCTTACAGAAGAAAATGGATGACTGGTCTTTTTCATTTCAGCATTGCTACTCTCAAGTCCTCTGAAAAGCAGCCTTTTACACTTGAATTATGTAGAGAAAGATGGCCATAAAGAGCTGCTATGAAAAACTACAACTATATTAATATACAATTTATATTAATAACCTATTCTATCTAAACTTTTTTTTTAGATTGAAGCTACAGAAGTTGATCAAGGCAGTAAGATCAAAGAATTGTCTTTGCAATCACATTGTGCTTCACTGAATACTGCAGCAGTATATTCTGCTTTAAAAGTTCATTTTGTTTTAGTCATGTAATTTGTATTAACCAAACCCGACATGTCTAAATATTCTTATCAATTTCCTTATAATTAAACTACTAAAAAATAAATGAGTTGGCTATTCTCTGTATTTAATTGAGTTCCATTTTTCTGGTCTTGCAGATTTCTACCATGTTTGAGCCTATTTAATGAGTACAGAGAAAACACATTGGAAATATCATTAAATCAGCAAAATGTGTACTGGAGATGTATTGCAAACAGTTAACAACAATTAATGTTTCTCTGATGCCCTGCAAAATATTACTCTGTAARCCAAGTTCTTATTTGTACAATTACCCACTTACAAATACATCTCTTCTCATTTGAAACCTTCATGTAACAGGGTACTCCAAATTTCCAGCACTGTGTTGATCATTCACTGGAAGGTTGCTGCTACAGCCTCTGTTTTGGGCCCTGAAGATCCTTGAAGGTAATTTGCACCTAACATTTTAGAGCGTTTATTCTGCAATAGTTTCTATTTGGGGCAACACAGTGGTGTTTATTTTTCTAACATTGGATATGCCTCAGAGTTGTGCTGTGTGCTTTACTTAAGCCACCTTCATTGTTTATTATTGCTTCAACTGTAATAAAAATAACAACTATACTGCTGATATATAAATGGAGTATGAGGTTATCTAGTATTACAGCAGCTCCTGCAAGTACCTTTATATAGTTCCTGAAATGTTATTCTGTGCTTTCATACATTTAATACTTTTTGGTGGACTGTAACAAATAGTCTACTTCTTACAGTGGTACTGTCACATACTGCAGCTGTGTGTGATTTTGTACCACTTTGTACAGGATAAATAATGATCCAAGGTGTAAAATACATAATGATCACATACTAAGTGCTCAGAACTACTGCAGCTTTTTGCTGCTTTCTCCTGCTTCAGTTCTTTAAACATTTAGCTTTTCAGTAATGAGACTYTATCATTGTAAGAAGCAATTATTTTCCATTACTCACACTGTAATGCAGCTGCTGACTGGTATATCTGGGTTTCATTCATTTTAGAACTATTTTTAAGTACCATATCACACACCTGCAGGTTGTCAGCCACTATTGTGACAAACTGTACAGCCTACATGATTATTCAGGATTCTAGGAATGAATATATATAATAGATTTGCTCTTTTTTCATGGTGGTACTAGAGAACCTGCTGCAAGTGCATGTGTCTTGGTTACTTATTTTACTTGATAAGTTCTAAGAGCCTTTGGTAATGATATCTTAAATTTCCACACTACTCAARCAAAATTTAATATTCAAGACCCCTGAGAAAATACCGTGGGTTTAGACTTACAGGTGGGGAACAGGAGTTCCAGGTTTCTGTGTTATCATCACTGCTTGTGCTTATGCTGACATTGCAGCTATCGATCTGTGACGTGCTCAGCCCATGGGAGACCCCAGCATCCCGTAATTCTTCATTTTGTTGTATCTTCATGCTGGCCAGCATCTGTAGTTCAAATGAACTCAGTCTATTTGACTGGTACTTTTTCCTGTCATACTCCTGTGAAATAAAATGGAAAAGTCAACAATATAGACAGGATCACAGAACAGAATAGATGAAAGAAACCCACAGAGACCTTGGAGAATCTCTCAGAGAAACTTCAAGATGCTACAATACTGAAAAGAGAAACAAAATAATTGCTAGAAAAAAATCAGTTAACAGATTTCTGTTCAGCTATGAAGATCAAGCATATTTACACATAATTACAGGAAGGAARAACACCACAAACACTGTAATGAACTGCAGTTTTGATCCAGGGTGTTAGAAGTTGCTGTTCCACTGCAATTAAAAACAGAAGATAAAAGCAGGCTTTAACAAGTTCAAAAATCCATCAGCTATTAAATGCAAATCTTGAATTAAAACCAATCCCACAGTTATCACAACATGTATCATGGTATCATCAACACCATCAGCATAACATTTAGTAACTGGTCAAGCACAGCATAAAATTTCCSAGGAAAGCCACATCAACAGTAAATTTCAAGTTATTCAGGCAATTTGCTAGTGTATGAATTTTCAAGTAATTGTCAATGTCTTTTCACTTTTCTTCAGATCCACTGGTTTAATTGTTAATGCAACCCTAATTGTTATATTGAACTTGATCCACAGGCCAAAAGCTTCCTACACATACCAACCATTTTGCAGCTGTACCTAGGCCTCACACAAAACCTCAAGATAAGAAAAAAKTCACCCAACCTGCTGTGGGCCTCATCTTTGTTTAAAGAACTCCTTCTTTAAAAGCTTTCCCTTTTTTAAAGAGTCCAATTAGACTGGTTTTTCACAAAGGAATAGGTCTAATAGTTGAGGCATCCAGTTTTGGTTCTAATAGAACCTACAAAGCTTCTCTGCTTGAAAAGTGAATGCAAGCAGTGACCAGGACTTGAGAGGACTTAGACCACTGGAATATTGGCCAGTGGGCTGTGAGACTGTATGTAACAGTATCCCAAAGAGGGACAGTGCTTTGATTCTAGTGGAGAGAACGGAGCTTTTAGACAGAAGTGTATAATTTTCCTGGTGGAAGGGAGGATCTCTCAGTCTGCTTTGCTGTGAGATGGTATCGGGTAACTGAAGTCCTCAAGAACACACACAAGTCAGCAGTACAAGTGATATGAATACTGACAGCTTTTCCTGCTATGAAATACAGAGTACAATATTTTAGYGTGTCTTCTAGGGGTACAAAAGTCACCTTACCAGCAGAATTCATGCTGAAATTATGATTACATCTCCTTTTCTTTCTTCCTATGCAATACGAAGTGCAAGAAGATGGCAGAAAATACGAAGTATAAGATGACAGAAGCAGTTTGYACAGTGACCATTCCTTTTTTACCCCTGGCTTATAAGGTCCTGAATATTGTGATTACTACTACAATTTTTAATCCTAAAAYAATATGAGATGTTTTCTCTAGACTCTTTCTGAATGCCTGTTACTAGTTCAGTGACTGTCAGTCATTTATTCACCTCACCCAAAGCTTGCCTTGTTACACCTGGGGAACCAGCTTTGCTCTAATGTATCAATATTCTACCAGATCTGCAGCTGCTCTAACTCTTATTGATCTTCCTGAACATGCTGATTTCCTGTTAATTTTCCTATATATAAACCTTCTGCAGTTATTTGATTATTGTAAGAGAAGCTTTGGCTCATCTTTCTTCTCTCACGTAATTGGCATGCAGTCATTAAACTAACAGCACAAACTGGTGCTCTGCAGAATAAAAGCACKAACTACTGAAAGAACTTCTTTCTCATTCTCCTTTTAATAAAAGCAAAAAAATTGCCCAAACTTGCCGTCTTTTCCTTTACATCTATGAAGAAAGATTTTTGCATAGATTTTTGGAATTATTACAGCATAATACTAGACATCTGCTGTTTCCCTACCCCCTCCCCAGCTTATTTCAAATTGTCATTGTTTTATTTTCCTGCAATTTCACTCTGAAAATATCATACTCAGGAGGAAGAAGAGATGCTATGACCATTTTCTGGGTTAAACATCCTCTACAATAAATGAAGGAAAAATATTTGGGCTATTTATTCTTCAGCTTTAGAAGACAACTACCAAAAAGCCTCTTCACAAATTTCATTTTGTCTTTGTCGGTTTTCAAAGAGAGAATTTGAAAATTGAATTTGAAATTAAGTTAACTTTGTAATTTAGGAGATTCTTTTGATGTAAGAAGTAATTTTGCAATACTTGTAAATTTGTCTAAAATTAATATTTCATTTAGTAATTAAAAGCTTATCTTGTCTATTTGCATATCCTTCCCTTACAATAAAGTATTTTTATTAAGCACTTAAAACTTTTGCTAGATTGACAAAACCTGTTGTTTAAAGGAGTTTTTTTCATGTATAATGACATTTTCATTCTTCTAGGTTCAAATGATTTATTCAGGATTGTTTGAATGTAGTTATACGTGTGGAAAACTTTAATTACCAGCTATCTACATGCCTGCAATATTACCCAGAGGGCTATACTTCTTTCTTAATTAAAAATATTTGAACTTAATAATAGAGAACTCTATTAAAACATGAATAAAACATTGCAGGAAACCAGGTCCTTAAAGCATATTAAGCAGCTGGCAAATCAACTGCAGGATGAGTTGGTTAAGCAGTTTTTCTTTACTAGTCCTCTGTATGAGTACAAAAAGAAGTGTCAAAGATCTCCAAGGAAGGGCTTCTGGAAAATTTTAAGACTTSATGAAATCAAGTATAAGACCTAAAACTGCCAGAGACTTTAATCTTATGTTTTGTAGCAATAAAACAAAGTCTGTAGCTAATGATGAGTTTCTATACATTAATAACAGGATTTGTTATTGAGAAAAATACTTACAAACAACAAATCACATGTGCAATACATTTACAGCTACAAGTGCAGTATGGTAATAACATTATTGTCTAAGTTAGTAATCAACTATTGCAATCCACTGAGAGAACCTGCATTTAGCTGTGTTCTACGGGACAAAGTTGATGACTGCAGTAAACAACAATAATACCTTTYAGGAAGGTAATAAATGTATAATTTAATTTATTACAGACAAATAGATTGCAATTATGATAAGTAATAAACATATTTGAATTTTAAGTGGAACAATTTTCTAAAACTTGAAAAGATCAGGAAACAAGGAATACATTTAATCCCAAAGATGTAAATCTTTACTGGAAAACAGGAAAGTTAAATTCCTATAGACTATATTAGGAGGAAAAGGGAATAAASRRATTTTATCRTRCATRTTCACTGCATATTAACATYTCTAAGAAAAAGAGAATCAGATTAKCAACATCAGCTGGGGCTTTTCCTWTCAATGAAAATTACAGAAACATTATCTTCTTTCCAAGGAGAAATGAACCCATGCATTGCTTTCTTCCACATTTTCTACATCACKGATGGCAATTCTAATGTCTTTTCCAGATCATAAATACATAGAATATATGCTACTATTTGCAGGATTTTCTCTGCTGTTTAATACTTTTTCTTTTCATAGTCTTTAAAAAYATCAGCCACTGATATTTCCCATTATCATAAAATCTCAGCATTGTTTCTGATTTTCACTTGTACTATGGTATTTCATTCCCCTTGCTTCCCCCTAATCTACTTCCTTCCCAAAGGAAAGCAGTCTTCACTGAAAACAATGTTCTGTTTTTATCAGGAAAAGTAAAGGGTCCTTACCAATTTGATAAGATACTTGCAGAACATAGGAAAAGAATTCCAGAATGCCCAGTCTGAGATACAACCTGATAAACCCCAGCCCCTGCACCAATACCAAAAGAGACTCTTTCAAAATAAGCACTGAAGCATCAGTGGCATGGCAGGATGAACATTTTACCATCAAGGACACACGTTTTCCTAGACTCTAGTTTTTAATCTGGTGCCCAGTTTGGATTGCTCTCAGCCTGGATTTCCATACCCACAGTCTCTGCAGGGCTGTCCATCCTCAGCAGCTAAAGCAGCCCCAGGCAGGCAGGTAGAGCCATTCAGCAAGATGGCCCTGCCCCAGCAGCAGCAGCCTTGTCCCATGGAAGTCATCATTCCTGCTCCCTTTTCACAGAGCCTGTCAAATCAGGTAACTAAAATTGATTGTATCAACGGGTCACAGAAATGCTACAGATAAAATTCCCAAAGCAGAAGTCTCCTGATGGGAACAGTGACTGCAGTATCCTACAGCAGATGAGACAAGCAATGATAGATGTCCATTTTCTTAATGTAATTGATCAYACTCCAAGACATTAATGTAGAAAAATATTCCCAAACAATGCATAACTACTTCATAGAGCCCCACAGGAAGAGAAGTGTCTATTCTTTTGATCCCAGAGATGTGCAAAACCTGGTGACCAAAGATGTTATAAGAAATTCAAGATATATTCAAGATATTACAAAACAAACTCCACACTTACARTAAGAATCATGCAGTAGTTCAATTCAACATCCCTGGGTAAAAATATTTTTTAAAAAATCACAAAACAGCAATCCTGGGAATGATACCATAAAACTCCTCGACCTGTAAAAGAGATACCTGCAAGGCAGCATGATAGACAGCCATCAAGAAGGAAGAGGCACAGGTAAGAATATTAATTAAAAATATTATTAATTGTTTTTTATAACAAACAGAAGAATAAAAAGCAGCAGGAAAGAGGCAATGCATTCAAAACAAAACAAAACAAACAAACAAAAGACTGTGATTTCTATTTGGAGTATTATTCTGTGTGCCACAAAACCCTACAAAATCCACTTTCAACAGACTGAGCACAGTAAATGCTGTTACGATGAAGCCAGAATACATCTGAATGAAAGATGAACTATTAATCACTTCATGCAAATAWCTCACATAGCTTCTCTATACAATCTAGTAATTTAATTTCAAAGTAAAAATCACTTACACAAGTCTGTGCTGTCAGACACGAATTTTCTTTTGAGACTTTCTTTGGAGATGTTTTACTGACAAATCTTTCTAATTGATCTGAAACTCCTTCACATCTTTCAGTTTCTTCAGATACATTTCTAATTACTCTAAAGTATTTAGATTTACTTTGAATTGGAGAAAGAGAAAGGATTGGCTTTAAACTTCTCTGAAAGCTAATAGATTCTGCTTTCCTCATGGTGGAACTCTGTGATTTTGATAACTCAGTCTCTTCGAAGTTATGTTTGCTGTGTTCCTTATTCTTCCAGTATTCATTTCTCTGTGACATCTTATTTAATGGGATCTCTTTAAAAACTGCTGAATCAGATGTTCCTTGTCTACTGTGGCTGTTCTCAACACTCTCAGTGCCCTGGATGAGTTCACTGTTGTCATCCTAAATTTAGGAAACAAAGCAAGAGTGGTTGGTTCCGTCTCATCATCACACAATTCAGTTTTACATAACCAACACTTCAAAATMTCTCTTTAATCTCTGCTTCCTGTTTCTAAATTTACAAGGATTCTGAAAAACAGCTGTTTTTCCTGGCAAATATACTGACTGTACCATAAACATATTATTACATCTCAAGGTCATTACTCTTTCCAAAATGTCAGGAAAAGTTTTGAGTGCTGGTAACCTCCCAAACCTGTGTCTCACCTGACAATCATAATTTCAATAGAAATTATTACAACTGTTAAGCCAAAACTAATCAAAGAGTCCATGACAGTGATGTCTCTCCATTGAATTATTAATATTCCACATTTTCACACTGCATCTTCAAACTTAAATGTAGAATAAATAACTCCTGCTGAGATCTCTTTGCTCTGCTCTGGCAATCATATGGTACTGAAAATCATAGGCATTACCATTTGAATACAATTTAAGAATTTTAGAGGCTAATTTATTAACCTTACATCCATGCTTCTAATGTCTCTGCAAAATACCCCATSAATCAAGGGCATGATGCTCACTCATACCCCATCTCAACAACAATCAGCAGGACTGAACAGATGGAAAGAGAAATAATGGGGAAGTGCATCTAGTGTTTGCCTCAATGTTCTCATTTTCAAGGAAGAAAGGATGAGAGGAGCCTCATCTCCATCTCATGCTGCTGCTCCTGTGCCATATGTTCCCACACAGGACGGAAGGCAGGATCACCTGCAGTGTGCCTCTCACAGCTGAGGTGCAAACGTGCTGCACATCAAAGTGATCCAGATTGCTGCTGATTTCAGTGAGTCCAGGATTACACACCATGAAATGTACATTCACGAAGATAATCCCTCAGTTTTATTAATGGTACACATTTTYGAAATTTATAGTTTCATTCCCTCAGTTATTTTGTCGATCAGTTAAATTCAGTCCATCTTGCTACTATGCAACTCAGTTACATTTTATTTCTCTGCTGTGAGTTACAGATTCAAATCTGTAATCTGTAAGAAACAGATTTTATAGCTAAAAATGAAATATACTAGAATGTTCATAAAGGTAGGAACTTTAGCAGTTACTGTAATGACCATGAAATTATTGCATGCATTGACAAGTCAGCAAATTTCTGTTTAGTATCAGCTGATACTAGATAGATATACTAAAAAATGTTTCYTTTCTTTCATTAATTTAATTGCTGAGATTTCCACACTGCAAGAATTAAAGYTGGTGATGCTCAGACAGGATATAAAGCAGAAATACCAATAATCAAGTGACATTCAAAAGCTGGAATTTTGTAATTCACTTTCAACAATGTCAATGAGCAAAAYCAGTCTCCATTTACAGTTTTAAAAAGCACAATGAAATCTTATTTACTGAACTCTTGAGCAACCATTAAGGACTTGGATGTCACTCAAATCTACGGTGCAGGCTTTCCTAAAATCTTTTTTGTAGTAATGATGCACAGTTCTGGCATTTTTCTGTTAGCACAGGGGCTGACAGAGTTAGGTTTCTTTTGTCAACTTGTTACACAGGGTACACCTGCACTGAGTCCTGTATCCAGTTAGACACAGCAAACTGACAAAGACAAATCTGGTATAGATTTCCCCATAGGTATTTGGGGAAAAGATGATTTATCCTGTCTGTCTGGCTTGAAGACAGAATCTCATCTTAGGAGTTTTAGGATGAAGACTGTTTTATCAAGAGTTACATGTACAAAGTGGCTTACCTCCTCACTGCTGTCAATTCCTTCAAAACTATCTTCAGTTTCGGCTCCCTCATGCTCTCCGTTAATGTCTGCCTCCAAATCCAAAGGRAAAACACAACTTTCAGGTGACATATTTGGAGACTTTCCGTGAGGAGCTGATCGAGGTCTTGATGAAAATGTGAAAACCTCTTCTTTATTCCTGTGATGATCAGCTGTTTGCCTGCTGTGATGTTCAACAGAGGCACTCAGGGCTGAGGGTAAATTACAGTAGGCCGAATCTCCAGCATCTTCAAAGTGCTCCTCCCCATCCAACTGAATACTCTCAGTGAACCTCTGTGGAGACACCCAATTATCTGAAACATACAATTTCAATGCCAAATATGTAAATTGTGAGCTACTCTGATCATTCTTATTTTCTCAGAAAATTGTACAGCAGAGTAAGGTTTTCTAGTACAGAATCATTTTGCTTATCAAAGAAGAGTAAGAGTGATGAGGACACAATGAAAAAGATCAGGTTGCTTTCAAAGTGCAGCAAAGTTAATCAAAACACTTCTAATCTGAGTATACAGGCTTTGGTACATGACATACAAGCCTGCAATTTGCAAACCTCAAATTAGTTAGCTTTCAAGATTTGAAACCTGGAACTGAATTTTATTCTAGGAAAACATGATTYTATTAAATATGGCCATTGATCTTTTTCTACAGGCATTTTTTTGTGTCTGACATTTTAAAAATAATCACACATTGGTGGAAAGTTCATAACATTACAATCTGCTCCTTCTTTTATTGCTGAAATTCCACACTTTTACATTCAGAACTTGTGGTTTAAATCTCTAACTACTTTTCTGGTAAAAAAGTGCGACATGAAAAATGTATAAAGATACCTGTTTCACTGAGTTTCCCTGAATATAGCCACAACTAATCTGACAATTTTAAAACAAACAATAAACTACAGAAATGTGTTTAARGATTGAGTGCACCAGATACACATGAAAAGACTATTTTTATATTCTTAWTGTTAACTTATATTTTACTGTTTGGAATGATGGTATAGAAAAAAATGTCAATTTGATTGATTAAAACCAATCTCAAATAGCATCTAAGAAAAGGAGAATTGCTCAAGTATGCAATACTCCCTTATCTTCATTAAAGGTAGTGTGGTGTGGATTATTCACTAGATATTGAAACTTTCCAGCTCCATAAAACAAAGCTACCATCAACCATATTAAAAAAACCTCAACAAAAAATACTAAAAATGCAATAATAAAGTAGCATTGCAATAATAAAATGCTTGCCATCACAGAAGACAGTGCGTTCAGTGTGATATTTTGTGCTTTAATGTGGTATTTTAGTTTTGCTAGAATTACCACTTCAGGCACATTCAGCAGTTTGGGTGGGTAGGAGGAAGGCTGAATCACCATAAAKGAAGGCAAAAGAAAGAAAAATGAGATGCCAGGAGAAACAGCTGTCTTCTTACTGGGTTCTTGTGATTTTCCCAGTTAATATCAAGGAACCAGTGAAACGTAGGGACTTGACATACCTTGTATGATCATGGCTTGCATCTTCTTGTTCTAGAAAAGACCATTTTTCAATCTCTACAAGAAGACCATCTTCAAATACCTTCAAAACTTACCTAAATAACTCTTCATATTTTTTCTTATTCGGCATTTTGCAGTCTTCTGACCAGTCTGCTACCCACCCACAATTCTAGTCTAATCTAAACCTACATTTTACTAGGTTTCACTGGCGGTGTCTTGACTAAGACCGGAATACATAACATGCACTCTGTTAGTATTCAGAAGGTCTTTTCCCCATCATGAAATTAGATTTGACATGTCTCATGCTGCCTTCGTGGTTTACAAATATGCACTAATAGCTCAGACCACTGTAAAGAGCCCTCYAGGGTATGGTTACACACTTAGTGTACAACCCACTTCAGGAGAATTCACTAATTCTTATACACAAAGGACTGGCAGTGAGTAAAGAGGAGTGGCTTAATTTTTTGGCCTACTGATTTTAAAAACAACCCACTTCCCACACTGCAGTCTCACCTGTTCTATTCTCATTCTAGAARAACTTCCAATGCAGTAGTTACTGTTTAATTTGCAGAGGGCATTACAGGTACAATTTTGTAGTGAACTCTGAAGGAAACAAGGTGATGAATCTCTTGCTTTTCCAATAATTTTTGATTGAAGTATCAAAACATGGAAAGGAAATCTTAATAACAGTTTTTGTCAAGTGTTTTGAGAACGTGAGGCAATTAGAGCCTTAAACTCCTGACTTCTAGTCCTGGCTCTGCCTCAGATATCCAAAAATTTCTTACACTTTATTCACAATTGTAATGTCTTGCCCAGACCAAACGGAGTTCAGAAATATAAATAACTACTTTAAAAGACTTAGTATCTATATAATACAAGCCTGAATATTCTGCCTTTTCAGTCTAAGCCTCCCTGTAAAGAACTACACTCATTTCCATAGATGTTAAAGAAATATACTTGATTTAGGAGTAAGTCAAACCCAAATATTCCTTGCATAGCACTGTACTTAATGAAATATGCAGGGGGAAGACAGAAAAGTCTGTAAGCCTTGAAGATGACATTTTATGCTGGTTACAGAGTTCAGCAACTTCTGTAACCTGTAGTCAGTGCAGCACTTTTTTAATAGCCCACAAGTGAATCATACAGGGAGTTATGGAATAAGAAAAATCTCATTATCTCTCCAACAAAAGCTATATTAGAATTTCTTTTTAACTCATAATTTCCATGTCAATTGTAATGAATAATTTGGAGTACATTCTTAGCAAAATATGCAAACTACTATGTAATCACAATATTGCAGCAAACAACATAAATGCAAGAATGATCACCTTAACATCTAATTAGCTCATCTACACAGTCAGACTTATGCTAAAGCTTCTAATTGCAGCCTAACATTTAAATGAAGGTTTCAGCACTGAATAAATAAGATTGGCATAAACAAYGTTGACTCATTTCTTCTCTCATGTCAAGTTTATCCCACTTTGGAAGAAGTCCAGAACACAGCCTAGAAAAGGACTTTCCTTGATGAGGAAGTTGCTTATAGGAAGTTCCCCAAAACAAATAAACCCAGTACCAGTGGATAAACAAATCATTAAGTAATTTACATACAGTTAGATAACTTCATGTATTGCAAAGAAACTGGAATCTTCAGTCTGTCAATAAGTGACAAGCAATGATAATATGGGGAGAAAAGTTGGTAGAATTGTACCTTACAAACTCACATCGTGCATTTATCTGCCTGTACACACCATTAAGACTACAAAAAAAACCAGTTTTCACTCTTCCCAAATAGCAAAAGAGCAGAGTTTATACATAGCTCTCCTCCTCAGTTCTCTGTCTCTGAATTTACAAGAAGGCATTTAGGTAGGGCACTCTACTGCCCTAAGGCTTTCATATCACTTATATTTACATTAAATGACAAGTATTGATTAATTTTTCTAAAATTCTAGMACTAGATAGAGGCCCTGGTATTCTAGATGAACAATAACTTAAGACCGTGATTCCAGGCCCAGAGTTTTCAAAATCCAGGTAYGTAGGAAGGAACTGAAAAATTCTCCAGAAAATTTCTCTACTTGCCTGAACATCTCGCAACTCTKTCAGTCAAATTATGAAACCCATAATAGCAATTATGGATTACTGACATTACCTTATATATAATCACTTCTAAACATCCCCTAAGAATAAACACAATGGAAATCACTCCCAATATGAAGAAAAATCTTGTTGGTCAATTTTGAGCACATTTGAGTAGTCCAACCACTTTTCAATTTGGTGGCTATGCCTTTTAATAGAAAGTAACACTACTTTTTCATCGRGACAAAAGCTGGTTTTGCCACATTACCACATTACTTCCTGGACACACACARAGCAAGTTGATTGACACTGTATGACAAAAAATATTCACACCTTTTGGCAGACARGTGTGAAAAGGAAAAAAACCAAAATGTAAGCTGTCTTCCCATGAATAGGAAAATAAATAAGTCACCGCTGAACTTTATAAACAAAACATCCCCTCCCACCCTGATAATACATAGGTACTGTAGTTAATATTCTAAACTCTAATGTCGGACAAGTAAAATTTCTTGTACATTTCATATTTGGAGACTTCAGTGCTAAATTTACTAGGGATTTAAAGAATAAATTATTTTTAGTTCTTTTCCTTTAATCATGAGAGTATGGAATTTTTCTTTTTATATTCATTCACTGCTCTGGTACTCTGCTTAATCCTGCAAATCTTTATCAATGCTCAAAAGCAATTCTGTTGCAGGGTGCTTGATTTCCATAATCCCYCACAACACAGACATTTATTTTTTATTTGAACTGCTTTTGGGTCCTTTGAAATTTACAACAGATAGTCCCTCACACCACATAGAACTGAAATGTAAAATAACACAAAATGAGTACCATACCACTGGTTATCTCCCATGTGGGTTTAGCTGCATTTTTTAGAGATAATCTTCTAGGACTGTTCTTGTCTGGTGATGGCACTTGTGGTGAGGTGAGCTGAAAATCTGCTTCTCCACTCACAGATGTTTTCTGAATCTGAATTTCAGGGYCTGGAATGCAATGCAGAAATGAAATGCCTGTGAAGACTCATATTGTGTGCAYATGGAGCACAGTACTGGGATACAAACAGCTTCCAAACAGCACAGGAATCTTGTAGGGCAGCAGGAACATGGCAGCCACAAGGAATTAAAAATTTAACACTAGGTATGGAAGAAGGGCAAACCATAGTAATTATAAAAAACAGGCTTACAAAAGTCTGCAAAACAAYCAAGAACCACTGCAGCAGCCCAGTTATTTTCACAGCATGAGGAAAGAGGAGCATTTGTATAAAYTGTGGCTACTGCCAGCAGGTGCTGATCCCTGGCTCAATCACTCACAATACAAAYAGCTGCAGAGGGAATGASTATTTATTCACCCCTATACAGGAGWATAAATCATGATTTAATGAATATGTTTTCAGTAATTAAATAGGTAGATAAAGGATTAGAAAAACAAAGATTTAAATCTTAGATTAGGCACAATCATACAAAAGTTTTGGCAGTTGAGAACTCTACATATTCTTTGCTTTATGATCTTACCATTTCGACATACATTTGCAGTTGTTTGGAGAGTATTTCTCTTGCCTCCTTGAGCTGAAGTATCATTGCAAGGCCAGARTGATAGCTCCAGTTTCTCAGGATCTGGTGCGGATTCAGTTGGCATTACTGAATTTTGCAGCTGGCATGATGTTTTGCTACTTGAGGTCTTTGTTACCTTGAAAGACATAATTTCTTAGTSAAACACAAAAATGTAACAGCTTTCAAAATACTCAAAGGTAAACACACGTTTTGAATTACACTTCTTTTTTTAAAATATATATTTCAAAATAATTTTTAAACATTATCTTTTCAGGAAACTCCATGGTAGGCTCTATTCAGTGTGGTATCTTCAATCTTTACAGTCAAGTAGCAGGCAGTTTTGATTTTTTTCACTGAGTGAATGGAACAAGGCAAAGAAAMGGAAAAAAAATARAATTTACTATCAGAATAAAAAGTCKAAAACTTGTAGYTATTCTAGACCTCAAGAGTCYTTATTTCTGTGACTGCATCACATGAGCTACTGTAAGGCTGACTATCAGAGCATACTGAAATGTAATCTCTGCTCTTCATTGTAGCTCTCATCACAAGGAAAAATATTTACACATGCACACACATACACACACCTGGATATTTCAGCAGTCTAGAACAAAAAATTCAGAAAAATAAGAATGATAAGAAATCACAGATTAGTTTCAGTAGAAAGAGACATCTTTAGGTTTGATGCTGGAATTAGATCAGTCTGTTTCAGTCAAGTTTTGTCATCTTTGGAAGTTTTGAAATCCCCCAATCTCTCCATGACCATGTTGCTGTACTGAAACACTTCACTCCTATATTCAGGCAGAGCTTCCCTGCACCAGGGCCCGCTGCTCTTGGCCTTTCAGGGCACTTAGAAGAGGCCTGGCTTCTCTACAGCCCTGCATTCATTGAAAATGGCAACCAGACTCCCCCTTAACCTTCTCTCCTGCGGGCTCAACACACCCACGCTCTGCTGGAGCCACTAAAGCATTTTCCTTGCCCTCCACTGGATGTTAGAGGATCTGTCTCTGGAGGTCCACCACCTCCCCCAGTTCCTGGAAGCAGCCTCTGAAATAAACCTTCAGTGTAACTCCTGTCTTTGTCAATCCCTTCCTTTGCAATAGTGCCAACAGTTTTGGAATTTAACCCTTCTTACCTTTCCAGACACCTTTGCATTGGCTCTTCTGTTTGAAGATGGAGGTGGCCCAAGGATCTTTGACCCAAATGCGATATGTGATACATCTTGAGTTTTACTGCTCAATATGTTGCCTTGGCCTCTATTAACCAAACTACCTAAGTTAAGAAAAATAATTGTTAAAAAAAATACAGTAGTTACAAACAATAAAAGGTAGGGGTTTTTTAATCAACTAAAAGAAAATAATTTTGACTACTAAACATATGTAAAAATTAAGTCCCTTTAAATTGCAATCCCTAGAAATATAGGAATAGCAAATGCGTATTTTATAAAAGTGTGTCAGCACATCAGCAAGAAACTTTTGGTCTATTGCAGAGACATACTTTTAATCATCTTGCTTTAAAGATTTATTTAAAAGTGGGTTATTTATAAACAAAAAAAATGGGTTTGCAGGATTTCTTTAGAACTTCAATGAAAACCTAACTTCTGACAGGAAGAAAAAAGAACTCTAATTAATAAATAACGGAATAAATAAATAATAACACAAAAAGACTGAGGCAAGACTGTCAAGGTATCAGTCATAGCTCAGAGAACTATTTACATGTAGTTTGCTTTTTGAAATTACTGAATCTTCTGTATTACCAGGGCTGAGCCCTAATAATGMAAACACACTCTATTGCTGCTAAAATGTTCTACCCTTTTCATGATTTTTTTTTCTGTTTAAACTGTAGATTTATTCTTATAAATGTTTTAAAGCACAGAAATTGCCAGTCTTCAAGACGAACAAAATGTAAACATGGAATTCAGGTGAATGTTCTGAAAAAAATTTAAAAGGAAGGACAATAAAATGGTTACACATTAATTTGGCCATCATGGTTGCAGAGCTGCATGTACTATCTATTTTCCTCTTTTATAAATCTCCAAGACTGTCAGTGAATTCTCCTTTCCAGAGCTGATAAAAATGGTATCTTTACATTAAATTATATTTAATACTTACARTGTCCAAAGGTATTTTCTTGCTACAACTTCAGTGTTAAATTGCTATCTCACTTTGGAGATTTGACACCTTAATAAAGCAATAAAGTAGAAACAAAACATTTTGTCGATTCCCCCAAGCATTTTTTCATAACCTCATTTCAAGATCAGCTTTATTTACAGTGTCATCAAGGAAATGAAAAATAGATCATGCATTAGCCACCAGTATCATCATTTACTGTACTAATAAGCACAGAAGAAGCTAGTTGCTGCCTCCCTTTTTCCTGATGTGACATTTAGTCACTGCTAACAGCTGCCATTTCACAAGATCAGATGACCTGTCTTAGTTTAACATCAGTTTCTTTTTGCTGGCTACCTTGGGATGTTGTTAGCTCCAATTAGAAAAGACGCTTTCCATTAAAATCTTTCTTAATGACCACATTAAGTGACTGCAATTAATTACCTACATCTACACATAACAGTGTGTTGATGACATAATGAAATAATATGTGYAATTAAAATTGGATGATACTAAAAATAATTTGTGCTTTTGATTATGAAATAAACAAAAAGTTTAGTGGATTAAAAGAACATTTTCCAATTAAAATGTACTTAAACATACCAAAGCCTCCAATTTCCAGTAGGCCAACTGAAATTTGAAAAACATGTCAGGAGAAACACATGCTGCACTCATAAAATGGGATTAAAAAAAAAGATTAAACCTTAAACTGAAGACATTTCATCTTCATGCAGGTGAGGGATGTTATCATTAATTACTTTACTATATATTCCTAAGGGCTATATATCTTCCTAGTCCAGATGGTAAAACCTGAGTCTTGTTTTAAACGAACATTCAYTTCTTCTGCTTAGATGCATCATTCACAGTATTGTACTCATCTAAATTTTACAGTCCCTCATATTTTGACAATGCAGCCAAGAAGTATTTATTTTTGAATACAGTCACTGAGAAATTGGATTGCAGAGTTTCCACTGCTATTTCAAAGGCAAATTTATAATCCAACTTTACAACAGAATTTTGGCTTGACTACTTGTAGGGCAGTAATACTCTAAAAGTATTATTTTCCCTTTAATATTATAAAAATTGTACTTTCTTTAAAAAAAAAAAAGCTGAATGCAATTTAAATAAGTAAATACATGAAAGGTCTTACTCTGAACCAAAATTCAAACCCCCTAGTATTAATTTCAGCTGCTGTAAGAGACTGTCTTTGCTAATGTGGTATATTGAGAGAGAGCAAAAGCTGACCACTTGAAAAAGCACCAGCATTGGCAGCTCAGTGCGGATGATGAAATGTTTATGATTTGTTTTTTTCATATTCTGGGAAAAGCARAAGAAAAGAAGTTTAGAAAGTATTTAAAAAAAAAAACTTTTGATATTATCAAGGTTGTTTTCAAAGTTTCGTTTTCTTTGGAGCTTCATGAGATGGTATATTCTTAAACTTAACAAGCAGTTATCATTCTCTGCAATCTTGTGTCTTTGGTCAGYACTTTGCATGTGTATTTCTGGAGTATTTAAACAGAAATGGTGGAAACGATTATTCACTGAATTCAAATACTAAAGATAAGAATACTCAAAGCTGAGAAATTTTGTAAACCAAATGGAATAAAAATCTATCTTCCTTACCTACAGCACCACTTCTAACATTGCCTACACTGATGAAGATGTGCTGGARATGGATTCTTTATCTAATTTGCTTTCTCAGACCCACTTTGAAAGTACTTCAGTCCTACTTCCATCTCAAAAGATGTTCTACCACCCTGTTGTAGTATGATCATATGACTCATAAAAAGTGGTAGAGAGGAAGGGGAAAATAAAATACTTTAGGAAGAATTGCAACCATTATATGGGTTAAACCAACGCTTCAGATTTGTGGCTTATTCAGAAGCCAATAATAAAGGAACAAAAGAGTAGAGGAAAGAGGGTACCTAAAAAGAGAGATTTCACCTGCCTCTTTTTCTGAGTTCTAGCAATAAGGATTTTAGGTACTTCTCCAGATTAAGCTGAAAATAACAGTAAAACCAACATTTTAAGATGTGTGAAATTATCAGTTCACCATGAAGGACATGAATCAGAGCATCTCATTTTAAAATCCATTATAACTTATTTTTAAGAAGTGCTTGCACATATTTCAGGATGTTTACTATTGAAAATGGATTTACAGAATAATTTTTTTTTTTAAAAAAGGAGTACAGATCAATTATGTGTATCTGCAACTGAAATTACAAAACCAGTAATATCCTGGGCATAAGGAAATTACATTTTTTATATGCTCAGGATTCTAATCAATGAAATTTAGTGAGATATTAGTGAAAAATATCTGTTTCTTCTACATTGATTTATTTTCTCATTGGAATCATAGCTGATGTCCTCAAAACTCAAAAAACCGATTAAACTACCCCCAATTTTCTTCAACTACAAAAAAAAATTTGTCAATAGCTGAAGATTTCATTTCATTCTTTACACAGTTCTGTSAAGACCACTACTGTTTATGAATAATTTTACAACTGCAGATTTTCAATAATGAACATAAATAATCTATGTCTCTCTCTACTGCTGTTCTTTAATGATGATCTATCTCTCAACAAAATTGTTTTAAAGAGATAATCAGTATTTTGAATCAAGGCAATAAGGACTGTAAATATGTCTGCCTTRGTGAAATCCTGCTGTCGACTTCACTGCAGGTAGGAAGCAATACACAGTTTTAAAGAAAAACAGCAGCTTTAGTAAAAAGCTTTCAGCTGCCTGACCAAGTCTATTTAAGTGATTCCACATCTTGGCATCTGTATCCACAATTCAGTTTCTACTGATTCTTGGCTTAAAGATCTTATTCAAACAGACATGACAACTTAAACATAAAAACACAGGGAGTGCTAGTCTAGAACTGTCCAATCATCCCCCTAATATTCAGTTTCAAAGGCGAAACCCAAATGCTTCAGAAATAGAACAAGATAATTCAGTATGGATTTTTGGAATCATCTGCGTTCTTAGAGTAAGACTGGAAAAACTTGGAAGCACAAGATTAAATTTTCTCTTCACATKTTTACTGCTGCTAAATACATTACCCTTACTCATACAAATTGCCAATTGATTTTGGAATCATACCAATTTATTTACAAGCTTCTTTTAGCAGTAGATTCCATGTTTTAATCATATTCTGTGTAACATGGCATTTTCTGAGTTTTTAATTTTGAATTGCATCATCACATCAAATCATGTCTTGTTTTTGTGCCATGAGATAAGAAAAGCAGCTTTTATTGAACTTCCCTTGTATCACTGGTTACTTTAWAAATGCCTTTATATCAATTTTTAATGTTTTCAGCATATCTCAAGTGCAAGTTTTTCATTCATGCTGCTTYTCCCTGAATCACTTATTGGTAAGATATTTTCTGATATGGTTTAACTGATAATATAGAAAGTATTTCAGATTATAATGCAAAAATGATTTCAAGGTTTGATACCTTTTTRATTTCATAGGATATAGAATTTCCTGCTACTTAGTTTTTTAAAACATATTAAAATCTGAAATTCTACTGASCTCTATCTGTGGTGATGATAACCTTCCTTCTTTGAGTCATTTAATTTTGATACTTTAAAGCTTATCTGTAGTTATCATTCCTCCCCAATGTRCTATCCTTTCCATTTAGCAAAGCTAGATTTTACATGATGTCATGTTACACATTTACCCTGTACAGTGGTCCCTAGACCATAACTTTTCATCACAGTGGCCACAAGAAATAAAACCAGTAAACTGAAAACCTTGCTTTGAAAACTGTGATTTTTCCTGCATATTACCTGCTGTTTTTCAGGAAAAAGTAAATAYGGGATTGCCTATCTCACAAGCTTAAAACTCTCTGAAGTTTTACTCTTTATTAAACTAGAATCTGTATCATAACAGAATTTTGCTCCCCTGCTATTCACTTCTTTGTTGAAATTATTCATAACTATAATAAACAATACAGAGACTAGAACAAAAAACTTTTGAGGTCTCCTGCTGTTAGCCTTCATCTGTAACAATAATTTTAAATTTAATCCTCTCTTTGCTTTCTCTTAGCTTTTATCCAAGTCAATAGCTTGTATCGTAGCACRCAACTGCCCAGCTTCTTTAATAAATCCTTTCTATGCAATGCTCACAAAGTCTAAATTACATGGTTTATTATTTTGTAGCTTACAGGAACATTCAAATAGCTCCAAGACACCAGTAAGACAAGATTTTTCTCTTCAGAGTATAAACTCAGGACACTCATGGTCGTATTTTCAGAAGAGTTTCAGTGAACAYACTTCAAAAAGAAGTGTAACAACTTCACTGTAAAATGCTTCAATGTACATTCATAYGACATCTCAAATATTGTTATAAATCTCATGCTTGAATTGGAATTGTTCAGGCTGTACACWGATCTCAAACTATAGAACAGACATGTGTTTATGTGCTGTGCAGGAGTTGTCATGTTTCATTTTGAGACACTGGAAATGGACATGTCTGAACATGGACATCTACAAAACAATCAATTGTTTGTACACATACTGTATAGACCATATTCGCAGTATTTTAATACAACAGAATACCTGTTTCTTTTGCTGTATTTTCCCTACATTTTATTTCTGGCTTGTGAATTTTAGTTASATTCAGCAATTGTGTAACTTGTGGCACATCAGAATTGAGCTGRCAGTTTTGAGGAATAACATCTGCGGGCTCACATGGCCTAGATGGAACAACGCGAGTACCTAGAATCAAAAAACACGGGCTTTACTTCACTCATGACACTATGGAATTACATTTGATTTATATGATTTGGTAGATTACATACATTTTAGTTCATATGGCTATAGAAATGGAATAGATGGTGGTAATAACAAAAATGTGCTACAATTGGTCACAAGTTGTGCCAGAGGAGATTTAGATCAGATACTAGGAACAATTTCTTCATCATAGGGGTTGTCAAGCACTGGAACAGGCTGCCCAGAGAAGCAGTGAAGTCACCATTCCTGGCARTATTTAAAATCTGTGTGGATGTGGTTCTTRGGGTTAGTGGTGGCCTTGGGAGTGCTKGGTTAATAGCTGGACTCAATGACCTTAAAGGTCCTTTCCAACCTAAACAATTCCAYGTTTCTATRAATTGCCTAGATAAGGAAAATCATAAGCAYACCAAAAGTACTAATGCCCACCAGCTGTGTAATAATCATAGAATTGTTAATGAAGTAATTAAAAATGTAATATTTTACTACGCATATAGTTTATTAAAGCTGTTGACTCATTATGTTAACTATGTTTTAGAATTCTGGAACTCATTTAGAATATTTAAGCACATTTCAGGAACTGTTTAGAATGGAAGGRAGAAAACAATGCACCAATGGAATTAAATTAAATGAATGCCAGTGAGACCTCTAACTACAGATTCCTGCAGAGAATTTACCATATTCTCTCTGTAGATATYTTTTAATTAATTTTCTTTTTCCAATCATACCAACAAAAAAATCAGAGGAGCAATCACAACGTTTACTTGCTCTCCCCCATTGGTTTAGTGTTTCCAAATGGAAGATATATTTTGTTACACTTGCAATACTGCTAACTATCTGAAACCAGAATCCTTTTTTCAGGTATGTTTCTTAAAAGCCACAACATGAAAATGGGAATGAAATTGAAGCTGAGCTATTCCTAGGGTGCCTTTAAAATAAGAAAGTGCCAGCTGTGCTTTTGAAATTTCTCCTCTATTACTGCAAATACCAGTGAGGAATGAAGTTCTCTCCCTTGGAAAATCATGATTCAGGATTATGATGTGAGTCTGGAGACTGTTAAACTTGGACCAATATCCTGATCTATTACAAAAAAACCTCTCATTTTTCGCCTCACCACCAATATTACTTTCCCAATAAACAAGAATACATTAGGATAAATGGACATAAGATCTGAGGTGTTTATGATAGTTTCTCTCATCGCTCTGCTTCATATAATGTGTTGTTACAGTTTTGTCTATTTGAAAAAGAAATTGTTCCTCAGCTGCTAATGTCCAAAATTAAGAAAACAAACAGCAAATGTTGCTGCTTTAAGCATTTCTCTTTCCTTTCAGATACTCTGTTCTTGGTCAAAACTTGATTTCTATCACCATAAGACACCCTCATTAAAACACGAACTCTACTTGATAAATCCTTCCAGAATTTCTTCAATAAAATACTTCTAAGGAATTCAGTGTTTAAAACACAGGAGTACACACATATTTAATTAGTTGCCTTAGGTCCAACACCAGCAGTCTTAATATCCTGTACTACCACTTTAATTTTCATGAAATCATGTAATCATTCAAATTGCCAATCTGATGAATAAGAAGCTTTTGATTTTGTAATATGAACAGCTATGATTGAGACTACATAGTAATTAAAACACACCATCTCCCTCAGCTGTATCTTGCGGCTTGGATTTTAAAGTGAAGATCTTTCTTAGCTTACAGTTAGCTGAAATAATAATTCCATCCAAAGACCGGAACACAGCTCCTCTGAATATTTCACTGGTAAATGCTACCAAGTCAATACACATATTGCACCACTAGAAAAAAAGAAACAATACTCCTTAGTAAACCCCATGAACTGAGGCTAACACACCTTCGATATAAATAAACACAATGGTCTTGAGGAGAAATGCAGCAATTTTAATTCAATTTGCAATATATTGGTAGTATATTTGATATGACTTCTCATGYGTAAAATCCARCTGGCCAATGGTTGAAATTTTAAGRGAGAAAAATACTAAAACATAATGATTGTACATGCCTCATTTCATTATGRAGTTAAGGCAGAAATTTAGATTCTRACTGCCAAATACCAAATATTTGTGAGAAAACATGTAGGTGCATACATTACTGTTCAGCCCTTAAATCTGAAATTTTGGAAGGAGAGTAATACTTGTTTTGAAGACACCAAGCAATGGACTGAAAAAAATCAGTATTTAATTATAACTTATGTTTCTACTGCTGAGATCGAAAAATGTAATAATTTGTAGGAATACAATACAGAAAGCTAGCATGCGAAAATGGAAACTGTTCTGCTGATGGAATAAACAACGTATTATATCCTTATTCACAACCCATCATGCTGRTAATAATGATCAGCTTGTGTATACAGTAAGTTGAACTATCAGAGCCATGTATAGGATTATCTAATCACTTAAAGCAGCATGCTCCCTCCTTTAAGCAAAAGCAATTGATTAAAAAAGCAGATAGCCATTTAAGGGAGACAGATGTGTATGCAGACACAGTAAGAAATATAGATCTACTCTTTAAGGGTGGTCAAGCATTAAGGTTATTAAAATATTTTGTCATTATAACTGATCAGAGCATTTAAACAGATCTCTGATTCATGCTTTATTATCTAAATTAAAATACCTAACTGAAGTTCRTCTTCTGATTGAATTTAACTTGGTGTACATTAATGCAGACTTTAATCCTGAAATACTTGCACTAGTCTGACACCAACCAACTGAAATTACATTGAAGACAAAGAATTTAATTTCAGTGGACTTTGAATTAACAGCAACTTCAGGGATATGATCCGATACATATTCTTTTAAAAAAATCTAACCATTTCCCACAAAGCAGAAAACTCCTCAGTCTTTAATTATCACAGTGGCTTTCACTCAACCTATCTCAAAAAAAGTTATAAYTTCAGAGGTTTTCGTAAAATATTCTATCTAATGTTAAATTCACAGCTGCTTTGTATATTGTTATTTAGTTCTCCTGGTGCTAATGTGTATTTTAAAATATTTGAAATCTAACTATTCTCATATCAAATTTATTTTCTAAAGCAGTATCTGAGACTCCAGTCCTTACATGGTTATATGGTAACCATCAGGCTTTGTATCCTGTCAGCTATTACCATATGTTGTGTCATGGGAGAGGGGAACAATGGTTATTGTTTTGTTTTCAGCAGTTTAACATATAGATTGTTCTATATATGCCAGAATTTGGAAGAACCWGAAGAATGTGAAAGCAGCCATCAGCTACAGTCTACCTGCAGCTGCAGTGAATGTCAGCAAAGGTCACTACAGGAGAAGGGACATGAGAASAGGAGCACTATCATGAAGAAGTATCGGGGGCACAGAGAATTTCATAGAGGCTGGATCAACAGGAGAGATAAAGAAACATCACAAACAGAAATAATTTCTGAAAACGGGAATGAATTCCTAATATAAGAAGAAGGATAGATGAAGTGCAGCATTAAATATTTCTGCTGCCTTCTGGTAAAGGGGACATACAAATTGGTAGGAACTGAGTTCTAAACCAAACAATGATTACAAAAAGTCTATAATATACACAAAACATTTCTGATTAGAAAACATGCTCAATCTCAGTCCAAGGAATATTCCCAAGGTACCTACTATTTTGCGCTTGATCATAAACAGAGGAACTTTTGCATGCAGAGGGGTTACTGACAACTCCTTGTGGACCGTTGACAAATACAATCTTCTTTTAATATTGCCTAAATCAGTTATCCTATAAAAGAAAAGGCAGGAGAAAATGGAACAGATCTTTGTCAATTCAATAATCCAGTATCTTTGGGAAATCACAAAGAAACTATTCATGTGCAGAACCTTTATGTCTGTGATAGCAAATGTGGAATTTAAAAATTACTTCTTTTACAAGATGAGTAATGAGATTTCTTTCTCCAATTCAAACYTGGTGGCTATATCCCTGCATATATAAAATCACTTTACATGCTAATTTTATTTCAAAAGTCTATACTCTTTGCTAGATTTCCACAGCCCTTATGACTACGCACAAATTCAATTTGTATGAACTGAGAACCCAGTAGCCTTTAATAATCACACATGTTTTGGCCCCCTTAAGCTTGTATTATCTTGGGGCCTGCTAACTAGAAAAACATTATTTGCTTTCTTTTCCTAAAAATGCCTCTGTCACTTCATATAGATTCTTTTCAGCTTAAAGGTAAACACAATATATTGTCTGTCTGTTTTACTTCATGAGGACATACCTTCAAATGTGAATTATAATGCAGAACTTTATTGCTCATTATTCAGGTCATCTCACAATGACACCAAGGACACTGAATTTCAACATTTCTAATAAATTCAGACCAYAGCCATGGTCACAAAAAAATAATTTAAGTTTCCTTTAAGCTGATAAAGAGGGTAATTTTTATGTTCTGTTTTTTTTGATCTTGTGAGCAGCTGTACTGGTTTGGCTGGAACCCAGTCAAATATSTTCAGAGTAGCCTGAAGAGTGCTAWGGTTTGGTTTTGTGCTGGAAGAAGTGTTGGTAACTCAGGGATGTTTTCGTTGCTGCTGGGCATTGCTGAYACAGAGTCGAGGCCTCTTCTGCTCCTCACCTCAYCCCATCAGCCAKGAGGAGCTGGGAGGGGACACAGTCAGGACAGCTGATCCCARCTGGCCCAAGGGATGTCTCAGACAACACGGTTTCATTGTCAGCAGTAGGAACTGTGAGGAAGGAGAAGGAATGGGGGAAGTTCAGAGTTACGCTGTCTTCCCACATAGCCAATACACAGGATGAAGCCCTGAGCTCCTGGAGATGGCTGAACAGCTGCAGGCCCATKGGAAGGAGCTGATGCTTTATTGAGATTTGCATGAGCAGCTTTTGCTCTCCSTATTAAACKGCCTTTATCTCAGCACATGAGTTTTGCACTTTTACCCTTGGGTATTCTCTTCCCCATTCCCCGTCCCTCTGCTGTGGCTCAGTTGCATCCTGGGGTTAAATCACAACAGCAGAACAACCTTGACATTCCCCAACAGTTCTACCTAAACACTGCAGAGCACCAATATTACTTTAAAGGCTGCAATCTGGGACAACATGCTTAATGTATGGGGAAGCAATGATTAATTTACCTATTATTTTTGAACAGGACTATTTCTAACAGATGGGTATTTCTCTGTAATTAGCAGCCCCTCTGAGAAGATGACAAATAATTATAATAAACAACTTTTTCTCACTACTTAGTGTTGCTAAAAGTAATTACTCATAATCATTCAAATGCTGGGTTTTACTTTAAAATGGTGAGAGTGCCCTGTGGATTTTAAAAAAATATTACTGAAACCACTTTTTCACTAGCTAAYGACTATTTATAGCTTAACTAATGAAATTTCATCACCCCAAATTTGCAGACAAACACCCTAAAATATTCATWGGTCAGCTTAGAAGGGCATTAACTCTGGGGAAAATTACATACTTTAGCTATTTTTTAACAATTTAAAAGTTTAACCAAGGACAGTATAAAATATACTGCAAGTATGCAAAYATGAAGATTCTACCAGTACAGGCAACGAAAACACATAAGCCACTTGTTTCCCCATTGTCATTAAGACTATCATCCAAAGCAAACTGTTCACCAGCTTTCCAGAATTTGCTGATTCTTTCCTCTCCCTTGCAGATAACCAGATCTTTAATCTATTCATCCTTACAACATGGGTGGGCAAATCCAAACAAAGTGGAAGAGTATAATATGTGCTTCATTTTGAAAGACTGGCAATTCCTCTTATAAATCAATTGAAAAGTTTGAATTTCACTACTGTATCAAGAAAAAAAAATGTTATATCCTCACTGCTGCTATTGTTTGACATCAAAGATTCCAGGATGAGCTGCACATACATTTATGAATGGAAAAATTACACCAAGTCCTTGGAAAGTGATTTCATCAGAAGACCCCCAGGKGTCTTACAGTGTTGGTATGTGGGCTTGATCTTACTTTTGAAAAAATTTAAGCGAGATGTGAAATACTTCCCTTAAGATCACCAGCAAGCTGGCCACGTAACTAAGCCTTTGTCCCAGATCAAGGCTTAGTTTCACCCATCACATTGCTTCTGATATAGTCTTCGGTGGAAAACCTATGGATGTGGTTTCAGAAACTCTTCACTCTAGATCTTAGATGCTCAGAAGTGCTAAGAAATTGATGCACCAAAGAACTGCAAWGTATTGAAGCTTGAAGCTCCTTGGATTTTTTGGCTACAGGTAGAGTTGATCAACTGTGCCGAGCAACCAGGCAGTTGCAGTAACCTGAGTGCTGATAAACAAACATATTATCCCTGCTGAACCACAAACTGCATATTTCTCTATAGAGAATGTTATTTTAAATGAYGCTATAAGAGAGCAGTAGAAGCCTAGAATTAAGTCATGCATATCTCCAAACAATTGGCAATAGAAACATAAGTTGACTCTATAATATCAGTTCAATATGTTGAAATTTTAGTATTTATTTCTTATATGAATAGGTTTATCTCTCTCCCTCATGAAAATAATAGGTACCTTAGTTATAGGAAGGCCATTGGTAAATGTAAAACTCAGTTACATTCCAAAGTTCCAAAGGAACACATTCATTTAGAGAAAAATACATTTTTATATATATGAAAAATACATTTATATATATATATATTATCTTTATGTATAAAGATACATTTATATCAGACTCTGTCATGTAAGTCTTCTGGTGAAACACAACTTTTTTTCCCAGTTATCCGAAAGAACCTATGCTAAATCTACAATGGCAAGAAACATCTGCAGCACACATCTTGATTTTTAAAGATGCATTAAGAAAATCTATATAGGAGTTAATGTATTTTTATTATGTCTGTGCKTGAGTATTTATATCTAAGGGTCAGACATGTGATAGAAAAGTAATGAGACCATGTTGAGAAAAATGAGGTAGTCAACAAGAAAATCAACCTCATTTATAATAATATTCCTGTGATCAGCAGGTGCATAACTCTTCCAGCTATGGTCATTAACTGCATTCATTTCACACTTAACATCTACATTTGCAAACCATTTGAAAGTAAAATTACCTTCCAATTCAATTTTCAATTTTATTTTACATCTTCAACTTTGATTGACTATTCTCCTCACAACGGTAGCTATAGTGAGATTGSAAGCAAATGGTAGCAACTACCCAAGAGTACAGATCAACTCATCTGCTCAGATTACCTATTCACTTTCCTTCTGTATGGATAATAATTGATAACCATTTGTTAATGTTCAATTCAAGGCTAAAAATGAACTTAGAAAAAATGATACTGAAAAAAAAAGAAACTTAGAAAAAAGGAACTGTTGAAGGGATGCTTCATTTGTCAGGTTCACTTGGTCTTCAAATGAAAGTATTTTTCTCTTTATAAATGACTTAACCTGGAAGTTTACAAAACACAAAAGCAGGTATTTCATTGACATTGCTAAGCTAAGAGCAACTCCCAKGCAATTTAATACTAAGAGAAATCTCTTTATATTGTGGTCAAAATCCAGAGAGAATTCTCTGCTAATGSTTTACTATCAGTACATTAATATATTAGAATTCAACAACTGTAGTGCCATTTTCTCCACAAAAAGCATGACTCCTAAACATTCCTAAACATAACATCATCATCATCACGTTCCATTTTAAAGACAGAAAAACTAGGGAATTGTGAGCTAATTTGCCATGCTTTCAGATTCTCAAGTTTTCTTAGTCAGGAGCACCTTGTACTTCACGTATATTCTATTTTATGYACTACTTGTAAAGTGGTCTTGTAGGAGACAATAACTAACTGAAGAGGCTGTCTGATAATCTGAAATCCATGCCCTCATAGAAACGGATGTAGTTACACTGAAAATCACTCGAATCTCTACAAAATAAGAGATCTGGAAGACTGATATGTCACCCAGACCTAGAGAACAAGTTGTGTTGTGTACTGGAATTTCCTGTTGATAGTGTTTTTCTGGAGAGCATTATGAAAAAGCCCTACAAGTTACTTCTATAATGCAGTTATTTATGCCTGCAACAAGTTATGTTGGCTTTTTTTTTTAAAGTTTATTGGCTGTTATTTTTTCTGCTTTGTTATTCTTTCCAGATGAAGGAAAGTCTATGTTTGCACCTGCTAATGTAACAGTTCTCTTACGGCCATATTTCTCATCGAAAAACCATTTATTCTAATTACTAAGAATTGCTATGAAGTCTGACCTTTAAAAAGAAAAAATTAACTTTCTTGCTAACAGAATTTACTTTATTTGGCACATGAAAATCCTGGTTAACAAACCTTACCAACCAGATATAAACAGGATTCAGTTTACTCCATGTTACTTACATTGATCCACCAACCAAAACATACATAACTAGTACTTTTCTTCCATCTAAAAGTTCTAGAAGATATGATGACTRGGAGAGATATTAGAATTTTTTAACTTTGAAATGTATGAGTTAAAATCTGCTTTGTAAATTATGGAATTTAAAATACCCTAATGCTTCTAGGAATGTTTCTGTACTTGACTCTTGCTTTACAAAGAAATCATGGAACATGGCTCATGCTACTAAAAACCAGAATTGGAAATAATCTCTCAGCTAAATCTATTCAATAAAGTTTATTTCCAGTCTCTATCTCAAATCTTACAGTAATTTCAAATATACATGATAGAATCAGCATCTATGTCCTGTTTTGAATTTTAAGTGGTTGGTCTAAGTTTTGCAAGACTAACCAAGATTCATATTGTTCTGTATCTGAAAACATGCTGGGTGTTTAGGTTTAACATGAATATTTTATAATATCTCTGTCAGTAAAGCTAAAATGATGACTGATTATGATAGCATGTAATTGAAACTATTATGGTATCTATGAATAAATTAGCTATGCCTGTAAAACCTATTATGTTGTAGTTATTAAAAATCTCAAAGCAATAAAATTGTATTTATAGAAACAACTGTTTGAAAACAGGTAATATGGTACCAAAATATATATTCTACTGTACTGTTCACAGGCCTTGTAATAAGATTTCTTATCAACAAGCACACCTACTTCAGGAATAAAGAGATTTTTTAGCCCCTTTTCCCCTACAGATTCCTCTATACATAACTAGCTTCAACAGAAAACTTCTTAAACCTTCTTAGAGGTTTGTGTTTCAGAGTTTGAAACTCTCACAGAGTTTGCATTAATTCAGAATATAAGAAGAGCTTATGTCTTCTGGAGCTGGTGAAGGCTAGTGGCAAGCAAAGCTGATTTGATTATGAACAGTGGGATAGTAACTGAGCAAACCTGTGGATCCATGGCTTGCTAGCTGAGCAAAGGTTGAAACATCAGGAAGAATTAAGAAATTAAGAGACAYAGGTAGCATTAGAGTGAATGAACAATCATGCTGTGATCTTCAGCTGGAAAGATGATCCATAAAGTACTGAGTGATTCTAGAAATGGCAACACAGCAGAGCCCCATTGYAGTTAATACCAAGCACCAAGTCTGGCCTTCAGAGCAGGACTCGACAGAAGTTTTCACTAACAATGGGCATGTTTGCTCTGCTGGTTTTCATGTCAGAGGCAAGGGGATCTTGAAAGAGAACTCAGACCTCCCCAGCTTAGAAACATGTGATTTACAGCTGTTTACCAGGTGAAGATTTAAACAAGTAGTTTGGAGCATTGTGAGCTCAGAGAGGCCTTCAATGAGAGAGGCAGCATGACTTCAGAGCTGCAGCAATCGATYGGTGAATATCACACCTGAACTGGGGAAAAAAAGGTTGAGCAAACTACAAGGACTCACACAAGACCACAAAATATTTCAGTACATAACTACGTAACTAGAAATTGAGCATCTCACCCTTGTTCTCCTGTCAGACCACTCTACCTTTTTTTTTCCTTGAGGCTATGGCACAATTTCAAGATCTGTTTCCACACATCAACAGCTCTACTCATTTGCTGTAAAACTCACTGTAACAAGGTGTACTAATTGCATGTGATACCAAACACTGAGAAAAACCATATCAGAAACAGAGTATGACCATGACTGGCATTACAGCTCTTTAAGAAAAAATGGTTGAGTTCTTGTCAAAATGCCAAGCAGAAGTACTACATGTAGGTATACTGGGAATTAAAGCAAAAACGACAACACAAGCCAGATGTTGTTTTCTTTTACATGCAAATATTTTTTCGAACATTGAGTTACCTTTGCTTTTTCAGAAAAGTAGCAAAATCCATAATGCTGAAGATTTAACCACTGGCTACTGCATTTGCAGCAGACAGCTATATTCAGCATTACTAACAGCTTTGCTATTATTTGCTGCAAAGAAGCTGAATAATATACATGCTCTCTCCCTCAGTTGTGATTTTATTATGCTTCATCAGATTTTTCATCCACAATGTATTTCACACATTTTTATGCAGATCAATACATTGATTGTTAATGTGGGGATATTAATCTAATCATGCCACATAAAAAAGTATCTAAAATTCCACTTAAATTTCCTCCAAAGAAAAGATAAAACAGCTAATACAGACAGTAGTTTGCACATTTCAGTATTTATGACAGGAATCTTGCATGACTGGTTGATAGCAGCAAGTTAGAAGGTTTAGCTCAGCTGATGCCAGCAATGATGGATCACCTTGAAGAAATTCTTGTTTGCTGACCAGATCAATCACTGAGCAGAATGCAAAACAGGATGAGGCTCAAACTAAATTCCTATTTCCATCTCTCTGCAGAATGGGACAGCAAGAAATGTAACATAAAGCATCATGCCCAGCTATTACAAAACTTGTCAGTGTTTTTTACACAAAGTAAATTTCCTGGCTTGGTATGCTATCAATTTTCACTAGAAGCTGCTCAAAGATTCAGCACTAAGTAGTCAGGTTTTGCAAGAAACCATCTTTGAACATTAAACTTCAGGAGACAAGAACACAATCAACATTCTGTCCGCAAACAAGCAAGAGATTTCTTTCAAAACATCTGAAATGAAGGGAATTGAATGGCAGTCACATGAAACAAGAAGGACTTGTCTTTATTATTTACTGGATTATCTTAAGTGTGCTAGGATAAAATAATGCATTGTCTATTCTGCAAGTCTTGAAGGACTTTATGATTACAGCAGTAAGTTACAGTTGATTTCAAATACAAAATTTAGTATTAAAACTATTTTAAAAGAAGTTTTCTTAATTTTTTCATATAGTTGCACTAAGTGGGGAACAACTGAGGTTGTACTTTTAATACAAACACCTTCATTCAGAGAAACTGGGGCTACAGAGGAAATATATAGTCAATATGGTTTAGATTATACATATTATACAGYGATATAGTATATGTTACATAAAATATATACATAGCAAATTCAAAATACATGTATTTGAATCTATACAAGTACATAAGAATATTATAAGAACTTAGATTTACTTTTATAAGACGGACATAGTAATGATCTGAACAGGCAGTAGAGATAAAAGATGAAGAATATGTGAAGTCTAAATATAAGCTGGAAAGAAAAAAAGGCCAAGTAAGGGTGGGAGAGGCGATAGAAAATGTTTTTATCAAAAAAAGTAAGCAATGAGAAAAATAAAATTAGTAGAAGTGGAAAAGCGGTTCTTGTTAAGAAGGTGGCAAGTACCCAAAAGAATCAAACTCAGTATGGCATTACAGAAAAATCTGAATTCCTGTACCTGTCATTAAGTCTCTGCCCCTGCCTAAAGAATGTCCATGAGAAGCAAATCTTGGTTTTCATTTGGTASCTGGTATTTGGTCTCTGTTTACTACATGACACATCCTGTTTGTTTTGTCCCTTTACATGCAAACTTACAAAAAGACAAACAAAAATAAAATCCTTCTTTGACTTTACACAGTTTAAGTATATATAATTTAACTTATCTTTTCTTGCAAGGCATCTAATGGCCTAATATTTCTTTTGTTAATCCAAGTCTCACATTCCACTGGCTACAAAACTGAGTGAGTTGTGCTGGTTACACACAAACAGATGGTGTCACTAGGGGAGAAATGTTGTCCAAAGCCTGACAACTGCCCAAGTTTAAAACTCTATCAAATAATTTCACACCTAACCAACAAAAAAAGTCTGTTTCTGCTGTATTTCTCTTTACAGTGTGGAAATAATTATACCAATCAAGCACTCCATTTGTTGTTCAAAGTTTTTTAGCATTTGTTTGGTTGGGTTTTTCTCCCCCAATTATCAGAATATGTATTTCTTTTTGCCCTGGGCCAAAGGGCCCCCTCTTATGACTTATTCATAAATCTCTTATGAATTTTCAGGCAGTCCTCATGTGCCAGTATTTTCATAAGTTTGATAAATTTGTGTCCCATTTCTTCAGATTTTTTACCATCTTCATTCAGGATTTTTAGTTTGTTCTGTCTTCAAAGGAATGTCAGTATTTAAAACATCCAAGAAATAATGATCTCATTAGCTTAATTACTTTTTATTGACTTGACAAGTCACTATGCTTTAATGCAAAATATGCCATCACGATTAATGACTGCAATCAAGRATTCACTTTAAGTATTCAAGAAAATTTTATGCATCTTACAGCAACTCAGTGGAGAAGTCTTTTCCCAATGGCACAAAAATCTGAAGTGTCAGAAATTGCTGGATCAGTCCCACTAGAAASAGGAAAAAAAAATCAAATAYATGTGCTGTGTGCATGCAGATGCACGTTTCACTATACAGCATTTCAATTTTGTACCATACTGCTGTGTTCCTGCAACACTATTTCCCAAGGTTCACACAACATATGAACACGAGAAAAACCTGAAGAAATCCAATTCAAACTGCAATAAAAGTGTTGTTTYAAAAGTCCCATCTGTGGCTTTGATGGAATTCTCATGAAAGCAAGAGGAAAYTTTTTTTTAAGCTTACAATTTTTGTGTTCCAAGAGCATGAAGACAACAAATATCCCATAAGAATTATAAAACAAAGTAATACTTTCCTATCAAGATTATCTTACAGTCATATTAAACTTGCATTCATGTTGGTGACAATGTACACTTTTTTAAACAACTTAAACTCGTAAGAATGCAATTCAGATTATGACAACATTGCTCAGTGAAGGCTTCGGATTTTTAGAACAATAGCTAAGGAGCTTGACTGAGGGAACAAACAAAAAATTCAGGTAGCTCTCTATCAAGGGAAAACAGTACAAAGCTCTCTGAATTGAACCATATGTTGTTTTCTTAGATATTCCATCAGGGAGGATACAGGCTGCTTTTCACTGATTTCACAAGACTCAGTGGCAACATTGGCTGCTCTTCCAAAGAAAGACAAATCAGAACTTTCTTCTTTTGAGGACCAAATTACACCTTAAAACTTCAAATTAGATTTGCATATATAGTATCTTTTATTTTGGAAGAGTATACAAAGTTACAGTGCAAGTGGGAGATCACATACTTGATAAATTAAATATTTGAGGTACATACACCTCAAGAGAGGAAGATACCAAGGCAGAAGGAAACAGAATGGTAACAGATGGAAATCTGACTGCAGTATTGCAGCACCAGCGAAAGTAAATTTAAAAGCAAACTATTTTTAGCAGTGATTACCCACAACATTTATTCTTAATCCACATTTTCATGTTTAGCAACAGTTAGCAATTTTTTTCTTTCAATTGTTTACTGTTATTTGCTATAGTAGTTTATTGTACCATTGAAAAGAAATTAGTTTGATTTCTCAAAAATATACATTAGATTAGTATTTATTTTAATGAAGATAATAGCCAATTTCTTTTATGGAAATCAAATTAATCTTCAATGCCTTACTGCATGATAGCCCAAACAATTTTTTTTTTGGTGTTTATTGGAAAAAAGTATGTCTTATTGTACACCGTGCATGAGAAGTATACTGAAGATTCCCATTCCATTTGTTTAAAACCACCATATTATGTTTTCTTCAAAAACAAGCAGATAATTCTAAAGCAGCTCAACTCATTCCTCCAAGCCTTGTAAGGTGCAACACTCTGTCATGGAGTTTAAAGCATAAGAGGATTCCTGTACTGCAGACTGCTTGGATTCTGATTTATTGAGGTGCAATGGACAACCTGGGAAACCACTCCATACTACCCATAAAAGACTGATTACATACACATAGCTGAAATTTGGGTATAACTTTCTTGTACTGTCAGTGCCTATTTGATACACAAAAGTAAAAATTATTTAAAACTTAAAATGAGAAAGGGGACAGGAACCTATYTCAATTCATTAATGCTAGTAGAATTACTGATTTTAGTAAGTGCTGAATGGAGTCAGAGGTTATTTACCAGAGATTGGTCTATAGCAGGATCAGGTACAGAAATGAACCTGGCAGCACCAAAACATGCAAGACCTTCCTTACAGCACATACTCTACTATGGCTTTTCTGTAGGTTTCACCTTTTGTAACCAACTTGCTAAATAGTTAATGAAAAACCCACTTTTTCTATGCTGAATTATGCCTTAGCGAGAAAAATGTAAGTTTTACATTCCAGTATGACTGATGTAATAATCAGAACAACATCACAGACATTTAAKTCCTTGACTCACAAGTTTGTCTAGTTTCCTTTGGTAGCTTCATTTTGTTGATTAGACTGCTTCCTTGAAGTACAAAAACAAAGCCTTTTAGTTCATTGTCATATTCCTACAAAAAAAAGAACAACAAATAAACATACCCTGATAGAATTCTCATCCTGACAACCAACCATGCTATTAATATGAAAAGCTATTTTTTTTAAAATCAGAAAATACAGATGGCACTGCATGTATGACTGATTCAAATTTGATGGCAATAATATAATCCATACAAATACATCCTTTACTTAAGTATTTTATGAACTAATAATGCTGACAAACAGGACTCAGGACTTATGGAGCAAAGCTCAATTCATAAGTTACCAGAGTACCAAAGTTACTTCCTAAATATTTAAACTGTAAAATTACACTGTGACCAACTCAGTCTGCGAGCAGGCACATAGAACTAATTTAAGTAGTCATTTAGTCTGTCATAATGACAGAACTGCAAGTGAYAACTCCACTGTCAGGTCAAAGCCCTCATTACTTCTAATTTTAAGCTTCATTCACATTTTTCTGGTTTTTACTTTAGGTTTTATACATTTCTTTAAAAACTTACTTTTGATATAGCTGATGGACTGCCAAAAATCTTCCATTTTGCTCCTGGGTTTTTGCCTTGAGCACTGAATATTTCAACAAACTGACCACCCTATGATAAAATGGTTTAAGGATGGTSAAATGAGAGCACAAGAATCCCCGTCTGTATCATGCTGTTACCACAGTTACTATTACTGATCAGTCAGACAGCAGAATATCAATAACAGCTTCTAGACTACTATAACATAGAAATTCATGCAGTCAATACTTGGCTTTACTAGAGGATCGAAAGATAAAATTGAAGGAATACCATGGCATATTTAAAATTATTTTATTTATAATGTCCTTCCTAAAACGCAAAATAATTATAAATATTCTAAAACCATGCAGGAGATTACTAATTTAGATTTAGATATGATTTATTTCTATAATTCACCAAATGAAGTGAGTTTTAAAACATACTGCTAAAAAATAAAAGGTGTTGCATATTGGATGTTTTGTATGATTTCCAATTGAAATGAAGTTTACATCACTTGCCTACATATGTGAATGACTCTGCCTACATATTTCCCAGTAACTTTTCTACTAGTTACCAAATTCCAGCCTGACTGGAACAAAGAAAAATTTACTATCTTTTCTGCACCAGCTTAAGTGGACTGGTAGTAGATCTGCTCCAGCCAGTATCATCATGAAAGGGGCTGAAGCCTTCAGAGGCATAAGAGAATTATTATTGGAAAAAGATTATTATGTCAGAAAACTCCTGCCACAGAGCATGTGCCCTATTAGACATCAAGGAATTTACACAYAGGCTCTTGGGGAGGTTGCTTTTATCCCTTCTGCTTAGGGAATTACTAGCTTCTATACTTTTCCCGTTTGATGTTGTGTTTTTTTGTGACATCTGAGGTACTCAGCCTACAATTTGCTAAGCATTTTTCAGTAGCATGGTTGACCTAATCAATCATTACAACTCTGCCATTCCCTATTCATTTCTAGYTGCCTGCACTCTCTAATTCTCTTTATGCTCAGCTGCCCAAGCAATTGCACGCAAGTCAGAATGAGCAAGAGAGGCAAGCAAAAGAAATGCTCCTCAGATTAGTTTTTCAGAGAACATCAACTCTGCACTGTATGTGAATTAGATATTTTCCTCTGCCCACACACACCTGGCAGCTCCAGCCACATGGCTGATCCCRGGGACTGGACTTAGTTCTAAGAAGATTCAGAATGGCATTCCATAAACGGCACTCAAAATGTTTTTTAAACTTTTAATGAACAATCAGAAATACCAGTTTTGGGTACAGAAGTAGCATATCTGGGACCAGCGGTGAWAAAGTAGTTGGAGTGGGTTGTTCTCTTGGGATAGGAGAGAAAKTGAGGCAGAGAAAGGGAGGCAAACYCTGATGAAAAGRGAAGCCAGGAAAGAGTAAAAGGGATAATGAAGTTCCTAACGATGCGACTGCTGYTGTCACAACCTTGTGGTGTACTGAGAGAATAAACAGACCTCCTTTTCTGACTACACCTTAGAGTTGGGACTCCTTCTATAACTGTGCAGAAGCAGACGTGCCTTCTCTGGCTTGCAAGGGTAAGGAACAAAAGTCATTGGCAAACCCATATCGGTGCCCATTCTAGACCCGACAGCATCAGCAGCTACCCACTACTTCATAACTCTTCTATAAAAATACTGAATAATGAAACATTTCAAAACACTCTTGTAGCTGGACTTTTTGCCTCTCAGAATAAGATATTTTAATTAAGCTCTCTCAGAGGTGAAATGAAAATGGGTGAAATAAAAAATAATTTCTGTTTTACCTGATAGTGATTTTTGAACATTTTTCCAGCTTTCATAAGCAGAAAATAATTTTAGCTCCTCAATCAGTAAACACACTTGCAAGCTATGCTGAAAAACAAATAAATAAATTTATATAGGATTTAATGTTAAAAGAATCATATAATGACACTCCAGCCATATTTTAAAATMGGTGAATACTATTATAAAGTACTTTTCTGAGTACAAATGTGTATCAACTGCATCAGAGTGCTACTGCAAAAGAATTAAGACCAAAATAGTATTAWTATTGACACTGTCTTGRAAAATCTTCTCTTTGTGCACCAAGYATTCAKGGCTGCYTTTCTGTGTATTTCAAGTCCTTATTTTGAATCAATGAAGACTTTCTCATTCCTTAAGAATGCTGAAAAATCATCTTCAATATATATTTTTTTATTATTCTTTGTTATCAAATGCCACTGGAAAACATTAGAATCCATTAAATAGGAGCTTAACATTCAGTACAGAAAAAGAGAAACWTGGAACAGCTGCAATAGAAACCTCTCCATCTAGAGGTATTTGGCAGAGATGTCTGAGCCAAGTTATCTTCTTTCACATTCAGCATTCTTCTTTGAGGATGATTACTGTAASACTCAAACCAAGCACTCCAGTTATTCATGGGCTGCTCAAGTCACTGTGAATTAAGAGATGTCTGCAGTTATAGAATCAGGACAGTGGAAAGGGAAGGGACTACACTGGAAGCCTCCCGAGTTCCTCTTTGATCATGCTGAGTGTCTGCAGGCTCACCTGAAGTCAACAAAACGTGAAGAGACCCTGAACATGAAAAGAAGTTGTGACTCTCCAAAGACAGGGAGAATCAGCCACAGGAAATGCACCTTCACTAAGAACTGAAAGTGCTCCTCAACTCACAAAAAAACCTTTCACAAGGCTCTGCCTTGCTTTCACTTTATATACTTTCTTCTGTTCRTGTTCAGTTCAGGCAGAAACAACTTAACTAAATTATTTGTAATTACTTGATATTTTTTGAGACTGCAACCAGTTTTGTATCACAGAGAAACCATATGCTGAGCAGGTGATTATTAACACTGCTTCTCATAATGAAYAGTTCAGCTGTCACCACCAGGAAGTAACAAAATTTTAAAAAAATTATAAAAACATATATGACTCCAAATGAACTAGAAATTCAGTGACAATATGGAGGAGTTAACGAAGAATGAATCCATTTAAAGGATCAGAACAACATTCTATTTGAAAAGGTAAATAATAATTCATTTATGAAAACATGATAAAATCTATTGATATTTATCCACAATAATTTTACTCAGCAACAATTACATCCTAAAATTGACTGTAAATAAAATAAAAAAAATGGAAAAAACCCCACCAGATATTATAAAGTTATCCCATGCTGTTGCCAAAAATATTAGTTAATTTTAAACTTTTTGATTACAAGGAAAATTAAATTTAGCAACCACAGCATTTGTAACAGGCCTATCAAAACTTGTAATTAATATTTTGATTAAAGTTAACTAAAACTGTTACTGCACTGCTAAAAAACCATTTGCATTATTCTATGTTTCAGACTGTTTTCTTTATGAATTTTTCACTTGTTGGCATACTTTTTTTGAAATTACTACATTAATAATTGAACTATTTAATTAGACATTTTATAAATATCTTTTAAAGAATACACTTCTAAAACAAATGTGTTTCTTCCTCCTCTCTCTATATTCACTAAAGATCTTTTATTTCTGAAATCACTGTTCACTCTTCTGTCTGCAGCTCTCTCTCTGTTGTTATCTACAGCCTTCAAACAAGCCAGAACTACTCAAAATTGCATAATTCATGTCTTAGTGAGAAGCAGTGGCACCATGAAACTAATCTCYGTGACCTACTGTTTTGATTCCCTTTGCCAGAGCAAAATGTGAAGGACCTGAAGCGAATGAGAGGCAGGAGCCAAGTCCTCCTGCAGGACATATTTATGACGAGTGTATCCCTGTAACTCACACTCTGAGGCAGTTTTTATTTATTATTAATTTTAAGTGAAGGAGATGCAAAGGAAAACACTGCTTTTTCCCTGAGGCAAAGCATTTTCACTTACTTTTGCTTTAAAATTCAGTACCAGATTTGCCAAGCATCAAGCACCTAGCACAGCCCTCACACGTTTCATAGTTCTCTTATGCGTTATTACATCTCAGGGAAAAACATTAGGGCTAAAAAACGTGAGGAATTGATCTAAGAGTCACTGTATAAAAAGCTTTAAGTTCTAAGACTGAAAAGAATGACTCATCTGTTTCAGGGACTACTACTAACATTCTGGCTTAAAACATATCCTCGATGCAGTTGTGTTTTAACCTGCATACATATGGGCAAGTGAGGTTGTTTGCTAATTTGCAGAACACGCTTTATGCAGACTTAAAAAACTGRTAACTGTTGTAGGGATCAAATTCATAACCAGGTGGTTCTTCCTAACTTCAGGGAAAGGTGAACTAGACCCGAAGTTTATAAACATTTGTGTTTGGACAAGCCATTCATACTACACAGYTCACCACTGTAAACACATCCGTGAAACCAACAAAATTTCAGTTTGTTTTTCATAAAGGCAGAAAAAATACTGCAAGTGACATTGCAATACATCTTTGCTCATATATTGCTTAATTATAACTTATCAAATTTCATTACTACAAATGAAGACTAGAAATTACCTTTGCTATTAAGATTGGTAGCTACTAAAACCATTAAGTGAATGACATATTTGTCATGTAATTACTGAGGCAATGTTAAAGAGTGCTTTCATTATACATCAAGTATTATTGTCTCTTCTTATAGCAGGCTATTCCTAAAAGAGAGAACGGTCTGGAAAATTGATAGTTGCAGTATTTTTCCCCTTTTCATCTTTACTCTTCCCAGTCTCTCCAGAAATTCTGAAAATCAAGACTACTTAAAATGCAGAGGGACTATTCTAAAAAAATCAACAGCAATTAGAAATGCAAGTCCTCATTTTTTGGCATAGTTATTAAATAAATAGGTATTTTATGATATCTTTGTAGAATGCCATAAACGAGTAGTTTTCTTATTTTTCAGTCACAGATGAAGCTTATTTTTTTTTATTGCCCTGAACCATGTACTTTAGTATGTCTGTCCAACTGGAAATAYAGGCTTAAAGTGTCAGTCAATGGCAAACAAGAATGCAATTTCTAAAGTTAAGCAACAATGGCAGATATTTATCTTTGAATAGATTCCTATCAGGATTTACCTTGTGATGCCTTGGTTTGTGCGGTGACTTTGATTATTAGTTTCACCATGTTTCTTACATCAATAATAAAGTAGCAGTGTCCAAAGTGCCCCTTATTCCTTCCATTCACACAAGCCACTGAGGACTCTGCARAAATACCTTCATCCTGTGACAGCTTCTTATGTATATTTCAATAATATTTGGTGTTTAGGTAGCCCCGGATTCCAGCAACTGGTCCTTTGAAAGTAACAAGCAAAAAGACAATTTCACAAACAGCAAATGCAAACAGACCTTCATGCTTTCTTGATCTAATTAGTATTAAGCACTGTTCTAAATCCAGGAGAGASAGGGATGGACAGACTCACACAGTCCTAAAACCCTTCATAGTCATGGTTAGTCCCTTCTCTTAAAAGGCATTATTTACATAAGTATATGAATACATGTTTCTGATCAACATCCCAGCATTGAAAAAGCTGTATTTATTTAAGATTTTTTATTCCAAAGTCAAAACTGTGAAGCAAAATAAAGTGAATTTGCACATACCACTAATTTGCATTGAAAAATGACACGAATGCACTATTTTTGGCAGGGCACACAGGCTTAGACCCAAGACTGTTCATCCATATAACTCACCATCACGGGCCCAAAGCCAGAGCTGATTTATGGTGGCCGGGACATGCCAGGGAAAGCACTTCATCACTGATGAAGGGTTTTAGTATCTCCCAGACAAATGAATTCCACATATTAAATATTTAAAGCTGAGTTTGTAACACCGCTATATATTTTCTCAAAATACAAGTTAGCATAATAAATGGGCAGAAAGACCATTAATAAGCTATAGCAAGTCTACTGGCGCTCCAATGCGCGAAGCGGCACAGCCTTTATGCACAACGCGTAGAATTAAGGAGAAAAATAACTTAAAATCGAGACCTTTGCGTTATAAAAATTCGACTGCAAAACGCTTTGACACAAGAACCACGATCGCCGGCGGCCCCGCTTCCCGGCGCAGCTACAGCGGCATTGCTGCGGCACCCCCGGCCAGAGCCGGGACCGGGGKSGGGATCGGCGTCAGGGRCAGGGGCAGGGTCGGGATTGGGATCAGGATCGGGATTAGGATCGGGATCAGGATCGAGGACACGATCAGGATCGGGATCGGGGACAGGGGTAGGGTCGGGGTCAGGGTCGGGGTCGGGATCGGGGTCAGGGACAGGATCGGGTTTGGGAGCGGGGTCAGGGTCAGGGGCAGGGCCAGGGACAGGGGCAGGGACAGGATCGGGTTCGGGATCGGGGTCAGGGGCAGGGTCAGGGACAGGGGCAGGGTCGGGGTCAGGATCGGGGGCGGGATCGGGGTCGGGGTCGCGGTCGGGGCCGTGGCCGAGCGCGGCCGAGCCCGCCGGGTCTCACCTGTGTGAGGGCGGCGGGGCCGTTGAAGATGGCGGCGCGGGGCGGGGCGGCCCTGAGGGCCGGTACCAGCTCGGGGGCACCGGCGGCGCCCCTCAGGCGGGCGGGGGATGGCGGTGTCCGGCCGGGGCTGCGCTGKCCGCGGTTCCCCGTCCCCAGCCCCGCTCCGGCTCACTCGCACCTGGCCGGGGCTGTCGCAGAGCCTGTGCTGGCCCCTCACAGGTGCCCCAAGCGTGTGAAATGAAATGACGCCGTGTCACCCAGGGCCCGCTCAGGTGTCACAAGGTCAAATGTCGCAAAATACATTTGCCATTTACCCTTTAAGGCTTCATGCTCCAAAATGTTTTGTTTTGTTTAATTTCCGTTTTGCTTTTTTGGTTTTTTTTTATTTTTTTTTTTCCCTGTGAGAAGGATGAAGGATGACCTGCAGCAGTCACACCAAAGTCCTTGGTTTTTACAGAATTACAATGGCCTCGTAAGACTGGCATTTTTCTCTAAGAGAAGGAAGCGGGAAGGAGGGTCGCATTAGTTTAACATCACTGACAAGTACAAGCAAACACCTCCTGATGGTTTCAAAAACCTCTAGGAACCAGAATATAGGGGAACCAATATGATCTTGGGTTTTATAATGAGATATTAGTCAAAGAAGATCTTTCCTTGAAGTGACTACTTTTGATCACAGCATTTCTTTATGAAACTTTGTAGCCTTTTCACAGGAAGGTGCTGGAATACCATTTTCTTCCTCAAAGTGTGTCTTAATGTTTCTACGAAGAGCAATTATTAAGAACCTTGTAACCCATCTYCGCATAATAAAATGCATGAACTGAAAGCACCGAGCCTCTGGGACCAGCTGTACTCAGCCCACCATTGCTCTGCTCACCTTCTTCACTTTTCCTCCTGAAAGGTACTGTCCTGATTTTGCCAAGGAAGGGAATGAGTTAAATCAATTTTAGGATGTATTTAGCTTTCTTATTTTACCTTAGGATTTTCAAAGAAATCCAGTGTAGTTTTATCATACGCTGGATTACACTGATTAGAGTTCTTGGGTATTGGAGATAAGGAAAACAATAATACTAAAGCAGAGCTACAGGTTATTAAATAAAAGCAGTTAATAGAACAAGGACAGAAGACAGATGATGATAGGAAAAGGAAGGTTAAAAAACTATTGTGGAGTTCTGTAGCCAACAGAAACAACATAGTTCATTACATACGATTTAACCTGAAGTMATTTGAAATTAATTACACATAACAMTGTATCTAAAAACCCTGCATCCTTTATGACAGGAGTTATGCTAAGGCCCGAGTAGTTCAGAAATTCCAGTTAAAAATTGAGATTCAGGCTGAAGAACCTAAAATTGTAATGGTATGTGAAACAGCCATCTGTGAGTGTGAAGTGTAAGGAGCTACCTGCCTGCTTGGGGCAAAACAGGGCTGCCCAAGTCCCCTTTGCCAGCTGGCACAGGAAACTGGTTTTAGGCATAATCTGGTAAGAATTTCTCTATTCTGTTTCTTCCAGTTTTACAGAAAAAAATCCCATATCTTTTTACTCAAAAATTGCAGGTGATGTCAGATTAGCAAGGAATGTTGTGCCATTAAATTTGGTCCATGCATAGCCTGAGCATATTGTACTTCCTTGGTCTATTTTGGAATCATGATGATGTGGGATGCACTGTAAAACCAATGATGAGACAATCAAGGTGTTTGTTGTAATGACTTCTTTCAGATTGCATCTGTAGATTGGCTGGTGGGTTATACAGTTTTCTATACACCAAAGAAAAGTTCATCTCTAAAGCCCTGCAAACGCTGATGAGTGTTCAGCAAGTGCTTGAGTAATAATTTGGGAAAAACTGAGAACTCGCATGCTTTTATCTTCACCCTTACATGTTGGAACATATTTCAGTGAAGAGATTTCTACTGTGTCTCAGACTAGGAAAATGGAGCATATGAACATCCCTTCTTCTCATAAATGACCTAAGCATAAGGTGTGGTTAGGTCTCCTGTCTTAAATTAAATTACAGAGAAGTTACTAGCATCATGCTGGGAAATGAATTGATTTTATTTAGGAGAATATTCAATGTGCACTAGATATCTGATGTGTGATATTAAAYCCAGCCATTTTTAAAGGACCCCCACTGACATAGCTTGGGTTTGTATCCATAGGAATAGTTCTGTAATTTCCTTCATCCTTTCCTGACTTTGCCTTATTACCTACCATTGCTCACATGTGGAGCAGTCTGCCAGCTCAAATATGGCAAGTGGCCTCCCTTCCCTCTGTGTAAAGCTCCACTTCAGCTCCAATGACCATTTGTCAGTCTGTTCTATACAGTATTGTTCTGAATTGATCTGTGTTGTGCTTTTTTAGACTGTCAGTTCATGTAGTCTGGAGATCTCTTGTCTTCATATTTCATACTGTATTTTCTAAAATGCCATGTTAAGTCTTGAGATCTATATGTATTACGAATTAAGCTAAAAAAAGAAGCTATCCAGGCATCCCATGAATTTTTTTTTTTAGTTCCTTCTTGCCATTCTTGATGTGCAGAGAAGGGAGACTCAATGCGAGYTGCTGCCTGCTCAGCTTTCACTTGGTAACAGCTGCCATGGAGCCAAGGTACATTTGCCCCAGTGCCAGGCCACTCTCCATTTCCTTTAAGTTTTCCTCCTCAGCCAGAAACCTTCCCARAAGTATATTTGCCAAGATTGTATCATGCAGGGTAGTTTAACTRTGTGGTCACCATTGTATCCACTACKGTTTGTGGATCTCTGGACAATTTCCAGCAGAATGCTTTCTCCTCCTTARGCCATGTACACAAACTCTAAATTTTGTTTGATTTTTATTTGTACCTTGGCCTTTTGATCAAAATACTGTTCAAATAAATTAAAAAGGGGAATTCATTACTTAGCATGACTGTTTGATCTTCTAGAACAAAATAATTTCTGTGAGAGATGCATATAACCTCTATCAGCTTAAGGCTTTTTGTTTAGAAGGAGTAACACCTTTGATTAAGAAAACAGCCTTTGGAGAAGACTGTTCTTGAGTAAATATGTTAAAAWTGAGAATTGGTTCACAACCTATTTTCTAAAGCCCCACAAATGTTTSAATAGAGATTCCTTAAGAATCCTTGTTTGAGGATTGTGGGTAGTTATGACAAAACACTCTTGGGCCTATTTCAGTGGTGTTACTTCCGAGATTAGACTTTCACCAAGTTTCCTACCACTGATGGGTAGTCCTGATGCTCAAACATGGAAGGGGACTCCAGGAGTGTAAAGGTCAAAGCTATGCAGACACAGCTGCAGCAGGGATGGGAAAGCTGTGGAGGCATTCCTTCTGCATCTGTCTATCCTTTACACCACACTGGACAGTGTGGTGAGYTGAGAGCAAAGAAATCCGCTATCACCAGACTAATTCTGTTGACAAAGCATGAAAAACATCGTAGTCTTTCTGTAAAATAAATGTGTTACACCACTCYAGAAGGCATTGAGTTCTCAGACAGTAGTACTTGAAGCTGGAAAATTGTCTGCTTATGTCTGGTCAGGCTTTTTAGGAATCCACCCATGTGACCAGTTGGCCACTTTTCTGTTCAGAGTAGGCATTTCAACCCTTAAATCAGGATTATGTACTTAATGTGGATGCCTAACTAGTTTGCCATTCATGGATGTAGAAAGACAACCAGCACAGGGCTAACAAGATTATTAATTTGTTCATTTTTACTTTGGTTTAATTTGAGGCAACTGGAATCTGTTTGCAGTTAAAAATAAATGTGGTAACAGCTAAAGACAGGCAGTACATTTCTTTAACTGTAAGATCCATCAGCTTTATGCAGTMTATGTGCTAATGCCCTTCATTCCTTCAGGATTGTTCCTTAAAGCTATGTAATAACAGGGACAGTGTGCAGAAAAAGCAAAAATCTGCCATGGTTTGCTTCAGCATTGAAGAAACCTGAGCTTAGGTTTGGCAAGTTATGTTAGAGTGAAAAACATTCTCTTTCCACTTGCTATTGTGCTTTACAGGAGTTACAGACTTCAAACTCCYCAAACTATACCCCTCTCTTGGTTGTTTCATTTCAGCTTTGCAGTGTGGAAGGAGATTTTGTCTAATGCCTTTTATAGTTTGGTCATGCTTCTGTGATTCAGAGAATTTTTGAATAGGRTTAAAGAAAAGCAGCCTCTGGATGACGGTGGGAACTTTAAATAGCATAACCACTCTTCTCTGTCCAGTAAATCCATTAAATGATAAACTATTGATTTTTATAACACAATTAAGGTGCCAATGATTTCTTAAGAAATCGTTGTACATTTTCTGTATTATGCACTCAGCACATTATCTATTGTAAATCGGAGGAGAGTGTTCTCAGTCTGAATGAAACCATCTTGTTGCTGTTCTCAGAATGAAACCCTCCCCACACCAGTCCAATGCTGCAGAGAGTTTTACCTCTGAAATATCCCATTGATTGTCATGTGTATATACAAAAAAAATTTTACCACTGTAATTTACTATTATTGGGACATTCTTGAAGCTGGTAGTTTATAGTACCTAAAAATTTTTAGTAACTTGCACAGAGAAGAATAAAAAATGGATTTTCACAAGCAACCTKATGATTTGGCATTAAAATGGATGGCTATCTGGACACACAGAGGAATTTCTTCATCTCCCCATCATATAGTTTGTACAATCAATGAGAATGCCACSGAGTATTTCTTTTGAAGCAGCATGAAGTATTAGAAAGCAAGATATTGCTTGTGATGGGTCAAAATGCACTCTTCTATTTTGACATTTCTTGTGTTCTTTTGTGCTGAGACAGGCTAAACAGAGACTTYATTTGTTCTGATAACTGTGGGCCTTTTTTCCTTGCTTTCCACTTTTGATTTTATTTTTACTGGCAAGATAGAAAAAGAAGTCAATATATAGTTTGATGTTGCTCATCCAACTTGTCAGATTTTTGTTTAGTGTTGTGATACTGTTTTTTTTTCATTCAATTACTGTTCACATTATTAGGGTTTAAGGTTTGTCACAGTATGCACTGAATATAAATGTCTCTGTTGTGTTATCTTTTAAATTAATCTTATAAAATTAATGTTATTTTTTCAGAAATACAAGTACTTTTAAATAAAATTCTTTGCACATTTGGAATGCAAATAAACTTACAAACACAAATACAAATTTTGAGAAACAAAGAGCATCTGCAGTTTTCAATGAATTCATTTAGACTGTCACTGGATTCCATGCAGCATTCTTCATTTTG